TTACAGATTAATGCAGAGAGAGAGAGAGAAAGAATGAAATTGTCAGTTTTAACTTTTCCAGATAAAAATATGATTGCTCAGATTAATAATGTACCCCCCCCCCCCCCACGGACACAATTGTACGATTTTATTATTGGAAAGCGTTTAGTTATAACTCTGTATATTAAATACTGTGTTTTATCAGCTTTCCCCCTGTCTAGCAACCTTCATATATTCAACTTTATAATATCGAATATTGGAAATAGACTCAAACCTCAGAAATCTGATATTTTAAAACTATTGAACTTTTAACAATATTAAACTGTAAAGAGAGTTTTTTCAACATTTGAAATGGGAGAATCACTCATATCTGTGACGTTGTCCAACTTATTTATTTTTAGATTATTAGCTTCTAACTTCAAAACTGAAAGGGACTGTAAGCGTAATTTCCCAGTGACTCTCCATGCAAATATCGAAATCCCCGAATCATAACGGGGTAACCTTGAATCTTAATCTGAAGATAATGTAGTTTTTTCTAGGTTTAAATATGTTTAATCATGATAAGCTTATCTGTTTGAAATGCGCAAGTCACTTTTCTAGAGAAGCGGAAAATTAGAAAAACCTGTTTTCCAAATTATAAACACTAATATATAATTCATACCACTGCAAACTGTAAATATGTGCCACATTAATAGTACAACTTTGCGACCACGTATCTCCTCTTGTTTTGATCATATCATTCAGTGTATGTTCCGCACATATTAATTAATTGATAATCAAAAGTTCGAAAACGTTTAAGGTTTAATCTTAAGTAAAGTTTACCTTAGTTTGACGTGCTCCTTGATCAGACAAAGCAATTTATGGTATTGTTGTGAATCGATATTGCCTTTTTGCATTGAGGGTCACTTGAAAATAAGCTAACAGTCCCTTGAAGGAGTTGGACAGGTAAAAAAGGCAAAAATACACCGGTAAATATTTTAAAATTTTGAACATTTTGCATAATTAAAATTTTTATTTAGATCACCAACGGGAACTAGATTTTTAATATTGTAAATAAATCTGCTATATAAATAACTTAAAAATACTGTTAAAGGGACTGTAAAGGAAAAATTAAAGGGGGTATAGGCTGAATGCTAAACACTTAAGCTCTTGATCGCGACCAATGAAAGTTTTATCTGATGTTCCTGTCTCGAGAAATTGAAAAAACATATATGTAAAATTTAGAAAATCTTAAACTTAAATCACGTGACCAGAACTATCACCAACGGCAGAGCAGTATACTGGTCACATGTCTCCCCCTGTATCACGTGACCACTTTACTGCACTGCCATTGGTGGAATTTCTGATCAAGTAATACGGACGTATAAATAATTTACGAATTAAATCTATCAAAAATAGAAATAACATATATAAAATTAGAAATGGAGTAAACCTAAGTTACAATTAGCTTTTTCTGGGATATCATCGTTTTCAGCTAGGTTGATTATTTGCTGAATTCGATCTATTTAAACCCGCTACTTTTATACAAAATTGTATATATATTAATTTTCGTATAAATTTTACAAAGTTGTATATCGATTTCTCTAGACAGGAACATGAGATAAAACTTTCATGGGTCGCGATCAAGAGCTAAAGTGATTAGCTTTCAGCCTATACCCCCTTTTATTTTTCCTTTACAGCCCCTTTAAGGAAAAATTAAAAGGGTATAGGTTGACACCTGGACACGTATATTTTTCATCTTTAACTAGATAAAATTTATAATATAATGATACCTAAGCTGTTTAGGCTCCTCTGGGTTAATTTTCAGATTGGTTTTGTATTTGCTGAATGTGATAAGTTTAATGCTTTGAAATATATACCAAATCTGATATAAATAAGTTTTGGTATAACGTTGACACAGTTTTATATCAATTTCTCGAGATATGGAACTCATATTATAGGTCGCAAACAAGTACTAAAGCCCAAACCCCCTTTCACTTTCCTTAACAATCCCTTTAAAGATAAATGTGAAAAAATTACATTGATACAAAAAAAATGGCAGAAAAAGTAAAACGCTTAAAGGTGAATTTATTTTCTGATATACGTCTAATCAATAATTGTTATACGATCCTCATTCCTCATATCCAAATATCTGAATTTGCTTATACTGCATGCAAATATTCATACGTATAAAGTATGCATATATAAAGCGTCTGGAAATCTAGCTTTAGTTTTGTTTGAGAAAGTCATAAATAATTTTTCACTGTGCATTTAGATTATTTATTTAGTATTTAAGGACAAATTAAGTAGAAACTTTTAAACATTTTCCAATTTTTTATAATTCTACAATTTAGTGGACTTCTCATCACAATTCCAATAGGATAAAGTTGATATCCTAATTAGTTTTCTAGGATATGGTTGTTATCCTAGATAACATTCTAGGATATAATGGATATCCTGGAGAGTATTCTAGAATATTGTTTAATTACGTCCAAAACTGTATTTTAGGATAAAATTAATGTCCTAGTTAGTATTCTAGGATAGACTTGATATCCTAGACAGTATTTTATGGATGTAGTTGATATCCTAGACAGTATTCTGGTGTATAGTTGATATCCTAGACAGTATTCTGGTGTATAGTGATATCCAAGACAGTTGTCTCAATCCTAAACCACTCAAGATATTAAAGAAAGAAAGAATGCTGTCAAATAGATCTTCTTTCCTCAAACTCTCTTTAAAGTTAGACTGGGGCGTCGTTTATGTAAATAAACATGTTTATAAATGAACAGAGCTGGATACTCTTAATTCCGATCCCTTGATCTTGATATCCACTGTAAGTACTTTAAATTTTAAGATCAATGCTTATTAGCTTAATCTTTTTTTTTAAATATTCCTCCAGGGTACGATTTAACATACGGAGTATCAAATAAAGATTAGAATAATCTGCAGATTAACAAAAATCGAGATCAAGCACTGAGCTAATGAATCCAAAATACAAGAGTTTCCAGCACTGAACATTCAAATAAATTCTCTTATGTGAGCAAAACTAAGAACTTAAATGTATATAGACTGTTTTGATAACATTTTTGCTAAAGCCAACTTCTACTCAGTTCTATTCCTCTCCTGTTTTAAAGAAAGTATATTCTTGAATGAGAATAATTGTTTTTCATTAGTTTTATTGCAAAGTGTAAAAATTTTGTCATTTCTTTAAATTTTAAATTTTGCAAAAAAATTAAATTAATACCAATGAGCACAAAATATCTGCTCATTGGGCCTTACAACCGGCCAATAATTGTTTTGAGGTCAAAACTTTTAAATTGTGATCAAATGATTCCTCTTGGACAAAACTAATGGATCAAGAACAAAACTTTTACTGTGAATATCGAGATCAAACTTTTTTCTTAATATTCATACTTATGAGATTTTATCGTGTGCAGAAGAAAATGTTGATAAATCTCACGCCAAACTGAAATAAAATAAAGAAACAAGCTTTGAAAATCTTGAAAGTTTGTATCGCAAGATGAATGCACAATTCGGCGTGCGCTATTAAAGCTTAATGTCGCGGAGTTAAAAAAAAAAACAAACATTGAAGCTTTACAGATAAATAAACATGATTCAGATTAGGAAGTTTTCACAATGGTATTTCTTCAATCTGAAAACAAATCGTCGGTTGTCAGTTTTTTTCTGTAATTATTTTAATGTTTAAAAATACAAATATATAGAATTGTAAGCAATGTTGTGGTTTGTTAGCAATATACTATATGTATATTTGTTTATCAGTAAACCTAGAAATCTAATTATTCCAGACTAGGTCTGAAATATACTGTATCAAGAATATACTAGGGAAATAACCAGAAACCCAGAAAAAGGGTAAAAGTCACATTTTATAATATTCGTATTAATTCTTATTCCGCTAAATTTTAGATAAAATTCAACCTGTGTAAAAGAAATTGAGTCTTTGTCACAAACCCAAATTTGCTAATTCCTATATCTTTGCAACCTGATGATGTAAACCTTTGATATTTCAAACTTAGATTATTTGACAAATAGAATTCATATTTCATAGTTTGTGTTGAGACATTGTGTTAAGATATTGGGTTGCAAAGATTTGGAAAAATTTTGGCAAATATTTTCTGATAAGATTCAAATTGCACAAAATTATAAAAGTTTATTGATAAATTGTTAACTTTCAAATAATTGATAATTATTCAAAAATATTTGCAGATAAACTGAAATCGTTGTTTTGGACACAAGTTCACATTTGTAGACACTAGACAGTAAACACTAGACACTAGACACTAGACACTAGACACTAGACACTAGACACTAGACACTAGACACTAGACACTAGACACTAGACTCTAGACACTAGACTCTAGACACTAGACTCTAGACACTAGACTCTAGACACTAGACAGTAGACACTAGACACTAGACACTAGACACCTATTCTTGAGAAGTTTTTAAACTGTTACGACTAAAAAATATGTTCGATTGTTTGTAACATGAGATGAATTAAAGTTATTTTGATTCTAAAAAGATTTTAAGTTTAAAATTCTTCTTATTTTCTCAATCCTTTGTTTTGAGTTCATATTTGCCAGAAGTTTTAATGGAAACGTCATAATAAATCATCTTTATGTTGTTTTCTCTATTCTAATACAGTGATGACCAAAACTTATTAGAGTTGGACTTCAATTCGAAAGTTTACGACTTAACCAGTTTTCAGGAAAATAAAAAAATTACAGATAAATAAGTGGAACAACTTTCTTAAAATAAAAATGACACATTCACAATTTCAAAATAGTAAATATATCGTAGAAGCATTAATAGTAAATTCTGATATTTTAAATCAAATTAGATGCAACGCCACTACGCCTGCTGCTTATTCGTGGGTCAGCAGTTTTAGAATTAACGCGGAAGGAAGTGTGTGGGGGGGGGGTGAATAGAAGATGATGGAGAAGGGGTAGGGGGAAAAGTAGAAGTTGGTAGGAATGTAGGAGGGAAGGGGAAAGAAGAAAAAATTGATTGGGAAGGAAGGTAGAATGGGGAAATTGGAGAAAAAGTGGATGAAGAGGGAAGCAAGGTGTAAAAGGAAAACAGGAAGAATAAGTAAGGTGAAAAGAAGGAAACGGTTAAAGAAAGGTCGGCTTAGGGATGGGAAAAGGTCAAAAGCAGGAAGGTAAAAGGTAGGATGGAAATGATAAAAATGGAAGCAGGAGGAAGGTAGGAGTGGGAGGGAATAGGAGGCAAAGAGCAGCAAGACGGAAGGTAGGAGGGCGAGGGAAAGAAAAAAAATATGAAAAAGATGAAAGTAAGGGGGAAAAGGTAGGAAAGAGGTTATAAGGGGAAGGTAAAATTGAAGGAGGAAGAAGAAAGGAGGGAGTTAGGAAAAGGTGCAGAAAAATGAAAGGTATGAGGAATAGAAAGGGAAAAGCTAGAAGATAGGAAAGGAAGGAAAAAACGGAAAAGGTGTAAAAAGCTAGAAGGGAAATGATAAAACAGCAGGGAAAACTGAAAAACGCAGGAAAAAGAGAGATAAGAAGGGAAAAACAAGGGGAACGCATGAAGGTAGGAAAGGGAGAAAAAGAAGGAAAGAGTGTGGAAATGGGGGAAAAGGTAAAGGAGTAAGTGGAAAAGCAGGGTAGAACGCTGTAAAAAGAGAGATGGGAAAAACAAAAGCAAGGAAAAGCATTATGAAGGTAGGAAAAGGAGGAAAAGGTAGAGAAGAGGAAGGGGAAAAGCAGGGAAAAACGCAATAAAAAGAGATATAAGAGGAAAAAACAGGGGAAAAGCATGAAGGTAGGAAAGGAAGAAAAAGAAGGAAAAGGTGGAGAAAAGGTTGAAGGGAAATGGAAAAGAAGAGGAAAGGAAAACCCTTTCTTCCTTTCCTTGGAAATTCGAATACAAATTGTTTAAATTCTTGGGATCGAGAAAGAAGGATGACTGAAGGGATGAATGAATGAATGAATGAATGAATGAATGAATGATTTAAGAAATATCTAGTTTTTTGCTTTCACTATTTGTAAGCGTAGTTTTTTCCATATAAGGAAATTAGTCTAGAAAATACATTCTGCATACCTTTTCATCAATATATCAACTTATCCATCTACCTATCTATCTATCTATCCATCTATCATTTCATCTACTAATCTATTTATCTATCTATCTATCTATCTGTAAGACTAAGCGTGATTTTGATGATCTAAGCAAATTATTGAAATATTTCCAATGGGTTGAGAAAAGTGAGAACTTGAGAAGTAAAAATGTTGCTAGCCAAAACTTTTATATTAAAAATTTATAAATAAATATGGACGCTCGATATTAAAAAACTTTATATAGTTTTAAAATGTTTTAGTTTTATAATTCATTTTCTTTTTGTTCCTTCTCTTTGAATTTACAATCTCGAATTTTATTTTTGGATTGACATTTAGTTAGTGAATTTGTCAGGTGGTTATTAATAGATATTTACTGAGTTATGAGTTATGAGCTACAGCTATACAGCTATACAGCTTTACAGCTTTACAGCTATACAGCTATACAGCTATACAGCTATACAGCTATACAGCTATACAGCTATACAGCTATACAGGTCTGCAGCTATACAGCTATTCAGCAATGCAGCTATACAGCTATGCAGCTATGCAGCTATACAGCTATACAGCTATACAGTTATACAGCTCTGCAGCTATACAGCTATACAGCAATGCAGCTATACAGCTATACAGCTATACAGCTATGCAGCTATACAGCTATGCAGCTTTGCAGCTATGCAGCTAAACAGCTATGCAGCTATGCAGCTATGCAGCTATGCAGCTATACAGCTAAACAGCTATACAGCTATACAGCTGTACAGCTATACAGCTATACAGCTATACAGCTATGCAGCTATAACAGCTAGTTAGAATCAGTTTAATTTCCAGCGAAACTTTGCCATATCATATGTAAGTTTAATTGAAATAAAACTGATTCATGCCTACATAAAGGAATTGAATTTTTGCCGCAAACTCAAATTTGTTAATCCATATCTCTTTGCAACCGTTGCCGAATTTAATGAATTTGAACTACGTCGTTGAACCTCCAATCATCGATTCAAATTGCGCGCTGACTTGAACACTGACTAAATTTAAAGTTGAACCAATCTGTTTGAACCACGTCTAATGTTTGAACTGCCTCTAGGCTCGGTTCAAATTCTTTAAATACGGCCTCTGATGGTTTAAACATTTGATATTTCAAACTTAGATTATTTGATCTAACAGAAATTACAGATTAAAATATCTAAAGTCAACGACATTTTGGGGCAAAGATATAGGGATTAAAAACAGAGTTTGAGGAAAAGACTCAATTTCTTTCGCCACTAAGGAATGATTCATATATATCATATATATATCATATATATCCTGTTGTGTCTTAAATATACTCTTTATGTGTACTGTACAGCTCGCTCTAGTTGCTTAAAGGGACAGACCGGTTATGTAAGGTAGTTAAACTGAGTATGCAGGGTTGTGCACAAATTCTTTAGGATTCATTTGAAAAATATAAAAACGTTTCCACGATGTATAAATACTGAGTTTGAGCGGAAAGTCAAAAGTTAAAAATCATGAATTTGGGTGGGTACGTTTTCAGAAACGGTTTTTTATAAATATATAAAATATAGTAAAAATTATATCGTAAAATAATTTAGATGTTTAGGAGCATATTATCAAAATAAATTTGTCAATTATTTCTTTTTCATTATTATATTGAATTTCTTATTTTCTATGAATTTGTTCGCAGATATCTTCAAATTCTTCAAATGTCGTCTTTTAATAAGAATTCCAGAAAATCTGCAGAAAATCTTTGTGATTGAAGAGAGATTACAGAAACTAGTAATTGAATAAGATTACTTATTTTCGATGATAAGAGTTAATTGTTATTTTCTCAACCTGTTCCTAAACAACTAAGTTTACTGAAGAATTTTGTTTACATTTTTTGTCGTCGTTATTTAATAATTAAAAAAAAAAACAATTCTAAAAACGTATCCACCAAAAAGTACGACTTTGCCCTCAAACTCAGGATTTACAGATCTTAAAAAAGTGTTATATGTCTCAAATGAATCCTAAAGAATTTGTCCACAACACTGCATACTCAGTTTAACTACCTTACATAACCGGTCTGTCCCTTTAAAAGTCGGTTAAGCACTTGAAATTATCCGGAGTTTACAGTGTAATCTTTTAAATACAGTCGCTGAACACATAACAATCTCGCTAGAGGGAGATGATTGATTTGGCGTACCGTACAGTTTTTTCTTCTGTATGGATACTAATGTGCTGTATAACTTGCTCTAGCTGCCCAGAGGTCGGCCAGGTACTCCAAATGTTTTGGAGTTATCAAGTAATCAAGTATGAATTACAAATCCATATTTTTTTAACTGTTTATTTTCAGTTGTGGTTTCTCTGCAAAAGGGAATTAAGTAAATAATTTTAGGGTCAGAAGAACGACAATATCTTCCACATTTTAAATCCTATTAGAGTACAGTCATGCATTGCCATCTTTGCATGATGGATCACTTAAAATTATGCTTTAAGTCACTTTAGTGCTCTACAGAATGAGACATGTTAATAATTAATTATTTTAAATGGTTGGTTTCGATTTTCTCTAGGTCTGTTTTATTCGAGATTTATTTTTGCTCAATTTGAGAGAGATGGAACCATTTCAAACAAATTGAAATTTTTCAGATGAAAAGCAAAAAGTAAATTGAATTTAAACATCAGAGAGCCGAGTTCTTAGATGATATTTTTACTTTAAAAATCTCTAAATTTGTATTTTTCTCACTTTTCTTATATTTGGGTGAAAAGAAAAAGGAAATAAAGTAGTTTTCAATATAAATTCTTTATTTTTAGTAATTAGAAAATTCCAGTAAAAGTTGAGAACAAATTAGACTCTAACTAATAGTTATTAAAGGGACTGTAAGCGTAATTCTAAGTGACCCTCCATGCAAAGAGGACAATGACCGATTTACAACGTTACCCTTTAAACCTTTAACTGTTCATGGAGATCTATGTGTTTGATTCCATCGTAAACCGCTTGGATTCAGCTGTAGGATGCAGTGTGCGCTGTGTTTAGAGTAAATTCAACAGCTGATGCGTTAACTTTGTCCCTTCACATTACCAAGTATTTCAAATCTAAAGCAATTTTTAAAAAAAACGCAAGATAGTTAAAACGTTTTTTCGTAAAGGATTTACGTTTTTATCTTTTTATGAAAGCACTTTTATGAGCTTATTTATAGTCATGTTTTATTTTGAAATAGCAGTTTTTTATCACGTATCACTTAAAAACGTTTTAGTGTTGGGTTTTCATTATTTATTATTGCACAAAATACCACGTTTTCATTTTAAAATAACAGGGTTTTATCACAAAATACCACGTTTTCATTGTAAAATAACAGGGTTTTATCACAATAAAAGATCGAGAACGGCACGATTTCATTGTTTAATGTTAGTTTTATTGTCAATATAACATAAAAGATGCCACATTTTAACTTTAGAGTTGGTTGTTTGAAAGTACTGGCAGTACGAGTTCAGCTTATAAAATTGAATTTTGATAAATGATAAAATGTGAATGTAAGATATTTGTATATCTATTTGAAAATTCATTAAATTGACAAGATCTGTCAATTCTCAAAACATTTTCAAATATAGATTAATTCTTTGTAATCATCAAAATGTTTTACGTAAGTCTCAGAACAAGACTAAAAATCATAATGTTTACAAAAGAAACAATTGTTTACATCATCTACTGTATGTTAGTAAAGCTTTTCGTGGGTATAATGTTACATCGTCTATACGCAACATCCCCCCTACTAAACTTCTTACCTACTAACTTTCCGACCTACTGCAATATCGATCATATGCCAGCTGTTTATTTGTGTATAATTTGAGGGTTAGGTTAGGTTTAGACAATTTCTGGGCCGAGCGGTGCGGCTAGGACAGGCTAGGAGGCCGGGCGCTGCAGCTGTAGCGGATTTGTCGTAGGTCAGAAGTGTAGTATAGCGGATTTCCGTAAATACGCCACCCTTTCGTGATCCGTAGGATACAGGGGACCTAGTGTTGCAGCTATAGAAGGATACACCGGACCTAGGGCTGTGGCTAAAGAGGGATACAAGGGACCGAGTTCTGCGGCTAGAGAGGGATACAAGGGACCGAGTTCTGCGGCTAGAAGGGATACAAGGGACCGAGTTCTGCGGCTAGAGAGGGATACAAGGGACCGAGTTCTGCGTCTAGGGAGGAATACAGGGGACCGATTGTTGCGGCTAGTGAGGTATACGGATTACGGGGTACAAAGTGCTGCGGCTAGGGATGAATACAGAGGGCCTAGTGCTACGGCTAGGGGAGAATAAAGGGGACCTAGTGTGTGGCTAGGAAGGGAAACAGAGAACCTAGTGCTGCGGCTCAGGAGGGATACAGGGGACCTATTGCTGCGGCCAGTGAGGGATACGGGGAACCTAGTGCCCTGACTAGGGAGGGATACAAAGAACCTAGTGTTGAGGCCAGGGAGGGATGCAGGGGACCTAGTGCAGTGACAAGGGAGGGATACAGGGAACCTAGTGCAGTGACAAGGGAGGGATACAGGGGACCTAGTGCAGTGACAAGGGAGGGATACAGGGGACCTAGTGCAGTGACAAGGGAGGGATACAGGGGACCTAGTGCTGCGGCTAGGGAGGGATACAGGGAACCTAGTGCAGTGACTAGGGAGGGATACAGGGGACCTAGTGCAGTGACTAGGGATTCGAAATTTTAAATAGAAAGTCAAAACATTTCAAGTCCTTTGCTCAAAACATAAATATTTTACTTGAATTGTGTCAAAATAAACTTATTGAGCGTCAAAACTAGAAACACTGGACAATTTCACATGAATAATAAATCAAACCTAACCTGTAAATAAAATTTTAAATGTGAAATATATTATATAAATGTATAGATTGTTTACTTACAGAACGCGATTGAATTTAAGAAACCGAATGCATCACGTGAAACTAAAGTAAAATGTACTTAAGATTAAAATCTTATATGTTTTCCATCATAACTCCTCTTATTGAAGAGCTATTTAGAAGCATAAAAATGTTTTGAATTTATGATATGTAATCAAGTAAATTTGCTTTTCTTACACTTGTGCTTAAAATCAGAACTAGAGGAGCTACGGAGTCACAAAGTCGTAACAACAATGTCAATTGCATTTGACCTTTGGCTCCTGGTTAGTTTGCTGTGGCATTTAATTTAAAAGTTGTCAGAGTGGATATCGTGATCAAAATTTGTAGATCCTTTCAGATTAAATAAATGGAGTCATTTGCCACAGATCCTTTTTTAATTCATACATCTTTGCAACCCAATGTCGTACACCTTAGATATTTTAAACTATATAAATTATTTTTAACTCAAGTTTAAAATAAAAAAGTTTACACCATCAGATTGCAAAGATATAGAGATTATAAAAAAGGTTGTGGCACAGACTAAACTCCTTCGAAGAAGCCCTTGCAACCTGAATTTCATATCATAGTTTTCCGTTTTCATGAGAACATATACTCATGCCCAAACTTGTGTGCAGGGGTTCTTTAAAAGGTTCTATCGTTGTAAAGAAGGGAATGCCAGATTCACAGAAGTACACTCGAGTCCGTAATCTGATCAATAATAAAACATGCTTCTCTGGCTTGAAAAGTGTTAAATCTGATATCACAATTGCTTCAAACACAAAAAATAGATTTCGTTCATTAATACTTGATCAGACAAACCAGTACCGTTATGAATCGAAGATGCTTCTTTATCCATCTAGGGTCACTTAATATAACGTTTAATAACACTATTATTGCTCTTTTGTGAAGAAGATTATGAATATGAGACTTTGGTATAATCCACGGCCCGCTTATATGTATGCTTCTATCTACCGATCTATACTATTCGGGCTAGTGTACATGTAACTTTGTCGGTGGGCTACGCAGCTGTTATATCTGAGTGGACACTAGATATTTTTAGGAAATTTCTAAAACCTCTGCATAGAAAATTTTAGGTTTTACTATAACAAATTTTTATTCTGGCTATTGTTCATTCTATTAAAATAATTTTTACTTTTAAAAAAGTTTGAAGTGAAGTTCAGGGTCCAAATTAGAGAAGAACTTTGTTAGATAGTGGGCCCTGAAGTAAGCAGAAATGAGATACTGTAGCTAAAATCTTGTGATCATAGCATTTTCTTCAAAGAGTTGGTAGCATCAAAGGCGCCTTGGTTTCAGAATTCCAAAATGTGGTCTGCCGTTTTTGTACCTTAAGAATTGACCAAGATATTGAGAAATTTGTTTTAAAAAATTCTAAATATTAAATATAACCAGGGTTGTTTAAATTTTTAGTATCTCCAACAATTTTTATAATACAAAGAAAGAGGCTAAATCTTATCAAGTTTTAAAGACTTACAATGTTTTTCTTTACTCCTTTCATCTATTAACTTTACGAAAACCAAAGACAAATTGTAAGTTCCAGGGTCCAATGTCTAACGTACTGCATAACACCCCTGCAGCGAAAAAATCACATCAAACCTTGACTATGATATATCCATTCTATTATATATCCATGGTATAATCCTTATTTATCAAACGTTTTTATTAAATCCAAAGTTAACCTTTGACAAGTTTAGACCTTCTAAAAATAACCTTTTTGCAATTCTTATGTCAAAATAATATAATTAGGCCCAAGAATGATTTTTCCGTTAATGAGAAGGAATCCCGTGTTCATTTAGCGAATATTTGTTTTATCTCAATTTAAAACATGTCAACGTAATATAATTAAAAAGTCAAATTTTTGATGTGATTTGCAGTTTTTAAATAACTTAGATTCCCAAAGTGTCAACATTTTGCTACATTTAATTTTGTCAAAATACGTTTTGACATGAAGATAAACAGCTAATGAATATTATCAAAACCTTCGATAACCTTGAAAATAGTAAAGAATTTTAACTTTTTAAAGTAGCGTTATTGTGTATATACTACTATGCATCTTCTATTTTAATTGTGAACATGTTCTCTTTGAATACATTGTAAAACAAACAAAAAACAAAAAGTTTCTCGGATATTATAAAAAAATTTCGTGGATTTTCAAAATTTTCAAAAATCACATTTGTTAGAGGCAAAATCTTAAAAATTCAATCATCCATAAACCTTCCCTGAGACTCGTGGTTCCAAAACTTTTTTTGCCCGATTGGTTCAGCCGTTTTGACGTTTATTGGATACAAAAAGAAAAACAAACAGACAGCCATATGAAGGTATATAACCGACGCGTACACTAAATAAATTAGTATATTTTTGCATGAAATTAAGGCCATTAATGTAAATGAATTAAAATAATTTTAACTGAATATCATCTCGATTTATTTTCTAGAAATCATATTTCTAGCACTTATATCTGTAGCAAAAATCTAATTTATCTCAAAACCATTAATAAGTTTTCCAGATCTTTTGAATTAGTTGTAATCTAGGATTTAAAAGAAGTGAGAAGCTACTACTCTCATCATTAGTTCGACAGTTTGTGGATAAACAAGATGTTATTCACGGGCAGCCGTAGTAAATTTGAATTTCCGAGCCGGGTCAACCTTTCCGGTCCCAGTTTGTACTGTACCGCACGGACATTGACTTAATTAAGCAGACAATCAACAGGACTAGCCGGGGCAACAAGGTTGACGCGGTCAGACTTTATGCTTCATATAGGTTTAATTTACTTTTACAAAACAGGTAGAGGTGCGTGTATTAAATGTTTTGCCTGTGCGGGAGCCAATTATAATGATGGTCTGGGAAGCTGAAATTGAAATTATTGCTTTTAGTCTTTTATGCTCCAGGAATAAATTTTCCATGGGAATTCTTCTACGGAGAGGGCCAATAACTGTAGTTTTATGGGAACATTCTGTAGAAAAAGAGTTGTGTAGAGGGGGGGGGGAGACATTACATTAAACCTTGAAAAGGCAAGACAGTGCAGTGCAGTTAGAAAAAAATTTCAGTGTACCTTATAAGTTTGCATTTGAGCGCTGTTATTGACACTTATGTTTTCAGAGATATAAAATGACAATCTTGTAAGTAAAGGTAAAAAATATCCGGTCTGGATCAGCTTAGTAAACTTCCTAGAACGGTCAAGTTTAAGGTTGCCGAAGAAGTTATTTTGCAATAAAATTCTAATTGCAGGCGAAATATTTATCAAAACATACTGCAATACAATTCAATACAATACAATACAATACAATACAATACAATACAATACAATACAATACAATACAATACAATACAATACAATACAATACAAACAAATCTTTCCATCTAAAGTCACACTTTGACCACCCCTGCTTCTAGCATACCGATCTCACATGAGTTTACGTGTATAAATTCATTCAAATCTAAATATTTCCTTCAGTTTAATCCAACCCACAGACCTCTCAGGACTGACACTATGTCCCGAAAGAATTCCCGCTGCGGGGTGATGTCCCAGCGCAACTCCCGTTGCAGTTCGGTAGAACCCCTGGACATTCTAGAAGAGGAACCAGAGTTTAAACATTTCATCAATAGGTGGCAATGCTTTCATTGTTTTTACTGACGTCAAAGATTGAAAAAGATAAAAAAAAAATGATATCTTGAACCATTTAAAAGGACAGCAAAATATGAAATAAGTAACTGATGAAAAAACTGAGAAGTAGAAAAAATAAATTATTTTCCCTAAATGAACTCTAAATATGAAAAAAGATGGCTTAAAACAGGATGAAATGCTAAAAGGATGATATGATGAATGAGTATAAAAACAGTAGGATGAAATGCTAAAAGGATGATATGATGAATGAGTTTAAAAACAGTAGGATGAAATGCTAAAAGGATGATATGATGAATGAGTATAAAAACAGTAGGATGAAATGCTGAAAGGATGATATGATGAATGAGTTTAAAAACAGTAGGATGAAATGCTAAAGGTTGATATGATGAATGAGTATAAAAACAGTAGGATGAAATGCTAAAAGGATGATATGCTGAATGAGTATAAAAACAGTAGGATGAAATGCTAAAGGTTGATATGATGAATGACTTTAAAAACAGTAGGATGAAATGCTAAAAGTATGATATGATGAATGAGTTTAAAAACAGTAGGATGAAATGCTAAAAGGATGATATGAATGAGTTTAAAAACAGTATGGATGAAATGCTAAAAGGATGATATGATGAATGAGTATAAAAACAGTAGGATGAAATACTAAAAGGATGATATGATGAATGGGTTTAAAAACTGTAGGATGAAATGCTAAAAGGATGAAATGATGAATGAGTTTAAAAACAGTATGATGAAATGCTAAAAGGATGATATGATGAATGAGTATAAAAACAGTAGGATGAAATGCTAAAGGTTGATATGATGGATGAGTATAAAAACAGTAGGATGAAATGCTAAAAGGATGATATGATGAATGACTTTAAAAACAGTAGGATGTAATGCTAAAAGGATGATATGATGATTGAGTTTAAAAACAGTATGGATGAAAGGCTAAAAGGAAGATATGATATATAAACTGAAGTAATGAATACATAATTGGATCATGGACGGAAAGATATGAAAGGATGAATAACATAAAGGATAATAAAATAAAAAAAATAAAGATACAACAGGATAAGGATAGATAATAGATTGAATAGTTGAAAGATGAATTAATGAATAAAAGAATGAAAGGATAACAAACTAATTGCAAGAATAAATATGTAAGGAAAAGGGTAATAAGTAAAGCATAAAATAATAGGATGAATGATATGATGTTAACTGTCAAGATGAATAATAGGTTAAATGGCAAGATGAATAATAGGTTGAATGGCAAGATAAATAACAGGTTGAATGGCAAGATGAATAATAGGTTGAATGACAAGATGAATAATAGGTTGAATGGCAAGATAAATAACAGGTTGAATGACAAGATGAATAATAGGTTAAATGACAAGATAAATAACAGGTTGAATGGCAAGATGAATAATAGGTTGAATGACAAGATGAATAATAGGTTGAATGGCAAGATAAATACTAGGTTGAATGACAAGATGAATAATAGGTTAAATGACAAGATAAATAATAGGTTGAATGGCAAGATGAATAATAGGTTGAATGACAAGATGAATAATAGGTTGAATAGCAAGATGAATAATAGGTTGAATGACAAGATGAATAAGAGGTTAAATGAAAAGATGAATAATAGGTTGAATGGCAAGATGAATAATAGGTTGAATGACAAGATGAATAATAGGTTGAATGACAAGATGAATAAGAGGTTGAATGACAAGATGAATAATAGGTTGAATGGCAAGATGAATAATAGGTTGAATGACAAGACGAATAATAGGTTGACTGACAAAATGAATAATAGGTTGAATGGCAAGATGAATAATAGGTTGAATGACAAGATGAATAAGAGGTTGAATGACAAGAAGGTTGAATGGCAAGATGAATAATAGGTTGAATGACAAGACGAATAATAGGTTGACTGACAAAATGAATAATAGGTTGAATGGCAAGATGAATAAGAGGTTAAATGGCAAGATGAATAATATGTTGAATGACAAGATGAATAATTAATGAATGATTAGGCAAGAAGTTCTTGCTGAGGATGAGTTTGAGGATGAAGATGGAAGTCAGGCTAAACCAGAACAGAGAAACAGGTTTCACATTCAACTCAAGCATAAAACCTTTTTAACTACAATGAGAACCAGAAAATTCTGGATTAATAATACGACTGTTAGACTCAAGATATAACTTGAAAAAGTCCAATGAACATGAGACACAGCAATTGTACAGCGTAAACGGGCCCAATTTACTTAATAAAGGATTTAATATGTTACTGGTAAAACTATTTGCTTTTTAACAACATGAAATACATTTAATATTTTACTGTAATGTGGTCTGATATTCATATTCCTCAGTTTTCTGGTTCTCACTGTATAAAAGCTCTAATTTTGGAACTTTTGGTAAAGGTAAAAATGTAAATATTTCCTGTTGCAGACGTGTATCCACAGCTTCATCTAACTTCAACTCTCAATGTCCGAGCAGAACATGGTCAAGAAGATCATCTCCAACACGTGGAGAGCTTCTTAGAGCAGATGATGAGGTAGTTACGTGGATTAAACGTCCTTATTCCAGAGAACTGTGCCTTTCAATCCCAATTTGACCTTTAAACATATTTTTTCCCCTTTTCTCTTTTTTTCTCGGCAAATGCGTTTTAAACGAAAAAGTGTGAAAAGACAGCTCCGTAAGTTAAAAGATTGTTGATTTATAGACGAACACGTGATTGAATTCAAACAGATGTAACCGGTGAGTCCCGGGGTGTATTTATAGAAATACTATCGGACATCGGTATGCTTGGAAAAATACAATTTGACTTCTTCTCAGACAAAATAGGACCCATTACCCAGGATTTTAGAATTTTAAAGGCTGGTCTTTTTATGAACTATGCCCTATCAAAGTACAAGGATTTTTTTCCATCAATGCCCCCCTTTTCTTTATTTTGGATCAGTTTTAATTGTGAATTTATTTATTAATAGATTGATTGATTTTGTTATTGATTGATTGAGTAATTGATTATTTGATTGATCTTTTGGTTGATTAATAGATTGATTGGTCGATTAATTGATTGATTGGTTGATTATTTTATTGATTGATTAATTCATTGATTAATTGATGCAGATGGTAACTGTCAGCAGAGGAGGAATGACAATGACAATCCCGCGGCACCTTGCGCACCACGTGCCTCCAGTTCTAATCGGAAAACTAGACGATGAAGGTCAATATACTTCTTTATTCTAGAAAAAGTACACAAATTAATCTGGATTTGTTTTTTCCTAGTGTCTATTTAAAATAGCAGAAGTATTTTTTTTGGCTGAAATATTGCCTTATAAAAGTTAACTTAATTTTAATCACAAGATGTTACATGAAACCCGGCCGGCCATCGATTCTTTCGTCTCTTCAAAAAAATGCTTCTTAATTATTGTAATGATTTTATCAAATGAGCACAACTTCAGATTTCACACTTTTCTGTTAAGTGAACATTTTTCTTTCCATTTATTGACACAAACTCGGACCCAAATTTAGCTTAATTGATTTTAAATGTTTTGATTTTAAACGTTTGACATTTTCCTGGTGTAATCACATATTTGAGTGCAAGAAACTTCTAAATTTAGTTCGAATTCTCAATGTTTTGAATCCAAATGCAATTACAGAAACATTGAGATTTAAATCTTTTTAAATTTCCGAAATAATTTCATGCGAAATATTTATCAATTTCCAAAAATTACAAAATTGTGTAAAATTATCAGAATTGAAAATTCTTCTTTTTATTACAAATCACATGATATATCTCTAAACCCTGTTGTTGTAGACCTAACATATCTCAAACTAAATATTCTGATAGATCAACTCATCTAAGTATAATTAAAGTGTCCCAAAATGTTTACATTGCGGTGTCATTTTCCCTTTAAAAGTCAACCCACTCGATTTAGAATCAACCAATTATAATATTTTGTGGTTCTGCTTAGATTCCCAATCAAAATTAGAAACAATTCGGTCAAGGGGCTCATGAGTTTGGATTGAAAATACAAGCGGAGATTATTTCTATATGTATATAGATGTAATATGTATGTAGGAAGAGAGCTTTGTGATCAAATGTGTAAACAAGGATATACTCCAGAGGAAATTGTCGAGTTCTTTAAAACATGGGTCTCAAGCAGGTACTATTTTAGGCTTCAAGGGGAGTTATGATGTTGCCAACCCCCCCCCCCCCCATAGAAATATTTAATGTTCCTTAAAACTATGGAACCGAAAATTATAGACAAAAATGCTAAAGCAAAACCTGTAATTTGAAATAATATTTTTTTCTTTTTTTCTAAACTTTTTCTCTTGTCTAGAAATATGTTTTCTTCTACTCTAGAATGAAGATTGAGAGGTACATGAAAACTTTTATGGAACAAGGGCATAGGGCCAGTGACAAGGTACATATATTATATTTAGATTGTCAATGGTTTATCACGTGGTTTATGACTTTCATCAAAAATGACGATGGTTAAAATTAAAATGATGGTTTTGATGATGATGATGATGATGATGATTATGTTGATGTTAATAATGATCATGATTATGCCTGTATTCTAGGACAAGATGCGTATGATCATGAAGCTGATGGATGGAAAGAACATGAGTGAGAGGGATTTCTTGGATCTCATAAACTCTCAGTTCGGAGATGCTGGGAAGGCAGAGTTGGAGCGCCTAATGAAGAGTGGAATGACAATGCAGGTATAGTGTAGGAACATTTCTCATTTATCATTCAGGAGAAAATTAAGAAAAAATTTATTAATTAAGATTACATATAATTTTATTTAAATGATTCCCAAAAACATGAATATCTTAAGGATTGTCTGGAGAAAAATAGTCTTTAAATACAGGGTTGCCCACAAGTGATGAGACTTAATTAAGCTTATAAATGGTATACATTAAACTATCAGGAAAAGTAGGAAATAAGTTTACAGCTGAAAGGAACCACAAATGTAAGAGTAAAGCTGAAAGGAACCACAAATGTAAGAGTAAAGCTGAAAGGAACCACAAATGTAAGAGTAAAGCTGAAAGGAACCACAAATGTAAGAGTAAAGCTTAAAGGAACCACAAATGTAAGATTAAAGCTGAAAGGAATAACAAATGTAAGAGTAAAGTTGAAAGGAACCACAAATGTAAGAGTAAAGCTGAAAGGAACCAAAAATGTAAGAGTAAAGCTAAAAGGAACCACAAATGTAAGAGTAAAAATGAAAGGAACCACAAATGTAAGAGTAAAGCTGAAAGGAACCACAAATGTAAGATTAAAGCGGAGAGGAAACACAAATGTAAGAGTAAAGCTGAAAGGAACCACAAATGTAAGAGTAAAACTGAAAGGAACCACAAATGTAAAAGTAAAGCTGAGAGGAAACACAAATGTAAGAGTAAAGCTGAAAGAAATCACAAATGTAAGAGTAAAGCTGAGAGGAAACACAAATGTAAGAGTAAAGCTGAAAGGAACCACAAATGTAAGAGTAAAGTTGAAAGGAACCACAAATGTAAGAGTAAAGCTGAAAGGAACCACAAGTGTAAGAGTAAAGCTGAGAGGAAACACAAATGTAAGAGTAAAGCTGAAAGGAATCACAAATGTAAGATTAAAGCTGAAAGGAACCACAAATGTAAGAATAAAGAGGAAAGGAACCACAAACGTAAGATTAAAGTTGAAAGGAACCACAAATGTAAGAGTAAAGCTGAAAGGAACTACAAATGTAAGAGTAAAGCTGAAAGGAACCACAAATGTAAGAGTAAAGCTGAAAGGAACAACAAATGTAAGATTACAGCTGAAAGAAAACACAAATGTAAGAGTAAATTCTTCTCTGAAGTCTCATTCTTCGTGGTTTATAAACTGAAGTATTTTGCAAAGAAAAAAAAGCAAGTTGACAGCAACAGAGCAAGTTTTGGACCGTTGTCTTTGTGGATAACCCTGTACGAAAAGTTACAAAGCTAAATGAAACATTGAAAGAAAATATGAGCGAATGAAAGGATGAAAGGAAGTATGGGTGAAAGGAAGTATGAATAAAAGGGTAAAATAAATAAAGGAATGACATCATGAATGAATTAATGAAAGAAAGAATAGTTGGATAAAAGGATGAATCAAAGAATGAATGAATGAATAAATGATTGTCTAGGAAGCTATGGAAGCGTTTATGAAGAGTGCTGAAACTAAGGAGAAGGAAGAGCTGAAAGCAAAACTTCAGAAAATCCTTGAAAACACAAATATGACCAAGGAAGAAAAATTTCAGGTAAAATTTCATTTTTTTCTAATCAATCAATAAATAGGCGGACACGAGGGGTCAGTCCTAGTATTTATTAGGATTGATTAGACCTTCAAACATTCATATTTAAAGTTTTAATGCAAAAGACTGTTCAGAAGCAACTTTGGATAAGGCATTTTGAATATATTAATTAGGATTTTTTCATTAATTAACTATAATTTGATAAGAAAATAATTTTCCATTAATCGTTTACAATTATATATATTTGTATATATTTGATTTCTCCTATTTTGGTGTTAGTGTTTTTGTTTACATACAATAAACGTCAGAACAACATAACCTTTCAGGCCTACATTTTTCCAGGACATGATATGACTCCAGGAAATGTTCATGGCTAATCTAAAAAATTTAATTTTCTATTTCCCTTGGAAAACAGGAAAATATAAATAAAAAATGGTTTACTGGTAAAAGGAAGAAAGAATGGTATGAAAAGCAACGAATTACAGCTATAAAGATTGTTTGAATAAAGGTGGGCTAAGGGGCCTGAAAACCTAGTAATGATAGAATTGTTTAAGGCAATGTTAGCAGAAATGAGTGACGAAGATAAAGCAAAAATTCAAGCAATGCTTGACAGCGGAATGTCTATGAATGATGTTCTCAAACATTTTACAGGTATAAATCTTAAATAATAAACATCTAAACATTTTACATATATCTTAAACAATAAACATCTAAACATTTGACAGGTTTTCACCCAAAAAAAATAAAAATTGAAAGGTATACATTTTAAACAATAAACATCTGAATATTTTACAGGTGTAAATCTCATTTAACAGATATTCATCTAAAAAAATAAACATTTTACAGATAAACATTTAAAACATTTTAAAGATGAACATTCAAAACATTTTACAGATAAACATTCAAAACATTTTAAAGATGAACATTCAAAACATTTTACAGATAAACATTTAAACATTTTACAGATAAACATTTAAAACATTTTAAAGATGAACATTCAAAACATTTTACAGATAAACATTTAAAACATTTTACAGATGAACATACAAAACATTTTACAGATAAACATTCAAAACATTTTACAGATATGGATAAACTTCATCTTATCTTTCATTATTTAATAATAATAAAAATTAAAAAAATAAAGAATTATGGAACTGCTGTGTAAACTAAACTAATTAGTAGAACTTGAAGAAATATTTATTAGCTAGATTCGAATCCATTTCTCTGACAGGACTTTAATCCGCATCAAAATCCTTGAACAGTAAACATTCTTAACAAGGTGTAGTTAAACACATTGAACAATAAATATTTTAACAATGTTGAGAACTTTTCAACTATTTAGAATTCATTGCGCAGTGCAACGATAGAAAAGGTGTTGAAATCTTTATCAATGTATATAGAGGAGGTGGGGTGTACGATTAACATATTTGGAGGAATTTTTAAGCTAGGAAATCCATTGTATCTAACATATATATCATTCAACAGAAAAAGGTTTAAATCGGACATGATGTAGGATCACTTAAAATGACCAAAATAATCCCTTTAAACAAATCGTACTTTTAAATCCAGGATATTTGATATTATCCCAGATTAGAGCTTTCCTTAGATGTTACATTCCTGACATTTTTTACAAGATTTCAACATTTTAATCATAATCTTACACTTTAAGTATGATTTAGATCTAGACATATTTAAGATATCTTATCTTCGTTCCACTTAGATAATTAAGCATTCAATCAAAGAGTGAAAAGTAGGCGAGATTTATCCCTAGGCAACACAAAAAAGTTGAACAAAGATATATTCCTGGTTTACAGTGTACTTTCACACTTTTAGAGACAGAATTTAAAGAATTTGAGCTGCGTTGCAGAACTACCTGCTGCCGGTTCAAATTTGAACCACCACTGCAATGTTAAAGATTTAGGAAGGATTTGACTTGGTGGTTCAAAGAAACTGAGTTTTTGCCAAAATCTCCGATTTTCTAACCCGTATATCTTTGGAACCCTATGTCCCAAAACTTTGATATTTCAAACTTAGACGAAATTCTTTAAATTCTGTCTCACAAATTATTTATATTTATTTTTCAGGAGAGGATAACTTGTTGGATATGGATGGAAATAACAATGTTCCTGCTGGAAGTGATTTTGCTAAAAAATTCCAAGTATGCAACTTCGATAAACCACGTAAAACTTGTTGGAAAAGAAATCATTTAGTTCTAACTTTACAAGTATTTATTAAACTGCACTTAAATAATTTTTTTATTTAGTATTTTAGTCTAATAGCCCAACAGCTAAACTTTTAACTCAAAGGTTTACTATCATAAGACAACATATAGTTATGGTATAAACTCATTTTTAATAAGTATTTGTTAAACTGCGCTTAATTAATTTTTTTGTTTAGTTATTTAATCTAAGCTAAGCTAAGCTAAGCTAAACTAAGCTAAACTTTTAACTCAAAGGTTTACCATCATAAGACGACATATAGTTATGGTATAAACTCATTTTTAACCTTTAGCTTTCAGATGTAAAGAATTCTAGGTCTGGCATTAAAGTATCATTCTTTGTAAGTAACTCTGCATAATATCTATTTTCTAGGAGTTACTGAACGGAAAGAATCTAAGCGAGGAGGAGATGATGGCTCTTCTAAGGAGCCAGCTGGGCACCAACTCCAAGAAGGAGATGGAGGAGATGTTAAAGCAAGGATACACCATGCAGCAGATCCTGGAGCACTTCATGAAGAACGGGAAGACCGAGGAGGAGGAACAGCAGGAACGAGGGGGAAGTGACTTTGCAAAGAAGTTTAAGGTAATGTCATCTTCGTTCAATTCATGGGTTAAAAATTATAATTTACTGTTTATGGGGTTACAATTTTGCCATAATTTGCAATTTATTGGTTAACAAGTGCAATAGTTTGCAATTTATTGGTTTGCAATTGCAATAATTTGCAATTTATTGGTTTACAATTGCAATAATTTGCAATTTATTGGTTTACAATTGCAATAATTTGCAATTTATTGGTTTACAATTGTAATAATTTGCAATTTATTGGTTTACAATTGCAATAATTTGCTATTTTTTGGCTTACAATTGCAATAATGTACAATTAATGGGTTTAAAATTGCAATAATTTGCAATTTATTGGTTTACAATTGCAATAATGTACAATTAATGGGTTTTAAATTGCAATCCTTTTCAATTAATGGGTTTACAATAGAAATAATTTACAATTAATGGGTTAACGATTGCAATAAACTGCAATTCATGGGTTTAAAATTGCAATAGTTTGATACTCATTGGTTTACAATTGCAATAAATTGCAAATCATGGGTTTACAATTGCAACAATGTACAATATACTTTGCTTGTCTGTTTGTTTCTATCCGATAAAAGTCAAAACGGCTAAACCAATCCAACCCAAATTTGTGTGGCAACTCATATGATCCCGGGAAGGTGTTTAGATGGTAAACTTGAATATTTTTATCAGGAAATGTATAAATGTTTATTAGTACATTAGTACCTGTCTCTGACTGTATACTTACTGCGCAGGAAATGTATAAATGTTTATTAGTACATTAGTACCTGTCTCTGACTGTATAATTACTGCGCAGGAAATGTATAAATGTTTATTAGTACATTAGAACCTGTCTCTGACTGTATACTTACTGCGCAGGAAATGTATAAATGTTTATTAGTACATTAGTACCTGTCTCTGACTGTATACTTACTGCGTAGGAAATGTATAAATGTTTATTAGTACATTAGTACCTGTCTCTGACTGTATACTTACTGCGTAGGAAATGTTTGACGGGAAGAACATGAGCGAGGAGGAGATGCTGGAGGCTCTGAGAAATCAGCTCGGCACAAACTCCAAGAAGGAGATGGAGGAGATGTTGAAGCAAGGATACACGATGCAGCAGATTCTGGATCACTTCATGAAGAACGGGAAGACTGAAGAGGAGGAACAGAAAGAAACCTTGAGAAAAATTCAGGAGTGTGATTGATAAGATATTTTTGCATTCTGTCAGGGAGAAAATTTGCCAATTTGAAAGGATGATCGAACGTTAAAATATTAACATTCCTATCATTTAAAAATAATCTTTGCACTGCATCAGTAATTACGAAGATTGCACATCAAATTTTGACCATTCACACATTAATACTTTAGCATTACATTTATCACACGGAATAGGAGGCTTTCCAGAGTGGAAATATGTCGACTGAGGATAAGTTTAATTTCCTCCAGAAGAATCTTTCAGATGATGCCAAAGCAACCATGGAGCAGTTGTTGAAGCAGGGTTACACCATGGAGGAGATTATTGAGCTGTTTAAGAAGCATGGCAACGATATTGCAGGCCTAGACAGTGAATTGGCGAATCAGACAATTGAGTTTGATGCTGAGAGGCCGGATGCACATTTATACGCAAACAGAGACGTTTTTACAGTGATCAGCAAGGACGATATAACTGCTAAAATTCCATTTATGACGCCAAAGAACCAACCCTGCTCTTTTAAACAGTTCATAGAGACGGTAAAATCAGTAGTTGCAGGGAAAGGACTGACACACAGAGAAATTTTAGGTATTTTTTCTTTATACAAAAAAATTTATTTTGTCTTTTTTTCTTTTCTATGAAGCTATAAATCCTTCGACGTTGAAACTAAAGTAAACTTTACACTGTCCACCATGTTGGAATATTAAATTGCTACCCATATTAAAATTTAAATTTTTCCACCATATTGGAATCCATTACATCATATTGGAATATTATATTTTCCCGCCATATTACATTTTCCCGCTTTAATGGAATCTAAACTTTTTTAATTCTATACATTATTTCCGCAATATTTGTAACTTAAATTGTTCCACCATAATTTAAATTCCACTTTTCCTGGATATTTTCTTTCTGTTTAGACATCATGGAGTTCCGAATGGGCGGCTCCTTCCTGGCTGATATGCGAAGTTTAAGGAAGGCGGGGCACAATCTACCACACATAGTTAGTTTCTTTCTCAAGAAGGATGTAGAGAAGAGACAGGAGACAAGAAGGTTGACCAGGCTTCTGGCTGATGCTAAGGTAGGATTTAAACAGTTACTATACCCGATTTACAATGGTACTTTTTTTTAAACCTTTAGAGTTACAAAAAGGAAGAAAGAAGTCTCTGTTGCAACTTTAGATATAGAGCCAGTGTAAACACATCAAATGTAAAGGTTGATGCGCACATAGAGCTGAGAAGAGAAGCAATCAAACAACAGTGGGGAATACAGCTCAGCTATACTTATAGGTCAGATAATAATAAAAATGATGATAATAATAAAACCCCCCATCCCTTCTATTATCCAGCTCCCCCCCTCTCCCTCCCTTCTCTTTATCTAACTCGATCCCCCTCCATCCATGCATCCTCAATCTATATATAAAATTCTGTGTCCCAACCCAATCTTCTCCGCCTCGAATATAAATGTTCCATTAATTCCCTTGGAATAATCTTCTACTTCATACTTGAACCAAGATTATATATTTCAAGGACGGACAGAGACAAGATTATATATTTCAAGGACGGACAGATACAAGATTATATATTTCAAGGACGGACAGCTAGAGACAATTGTTTATATTCATCTAATTTCAGATCTCCGTTAATTGTTTTCATTCATTTCTTTTCAGTCCTAATACAGAAACTTTCGGATCAATTTATGACTTGAATAAATTAATTGTAAAAACACTGGATTTCAAGAATTTTCTAAAAAACACTCTGAATCTGTCGGAGAAAAATTGCCGGTTTAAAATGATTAAAAAAATATCAATTTAATAATTAATACCAATCGAATATTATACATGGGTTAAAAAGCTATTTTGAAAAATATGTTATGTGCAGGCGATGTTATTGTAACAGTTAATGATTGGTTAATAACTGCTATGGATAGACCTCATGTAAGTGATAAATTTTCTAGAAATTAAAGGGAATGTTCATAGATTTACGAAGAGAATGTAGGACGAACTTATCAGAGTAATAGTAAAATGCGGCGGCGAGAAGAAGGAATTTTAGGAAATCAATTAACGGACGTACACACTCAGCTAAGCTTTCGGTGCGTACTGCAGTAATATGCTGTACACTAACCAAAGATATAGTAGGGTTTAGCCAAAGAGAATAGAATTTATATTAGAGGGGAATTTAGAGAATCACTCGGTATGAATTCTTTCAGTCCCTTTCAGCCTGAAAGGGAGTTCAAAGTGTACAAATCATGTAAATGTTCACAAATTATATGCAGTATAGTACATTAATACAGTATTTTCCCAAGACTATCCATTTCAAATTCGAATTTTTTAAAGTTGTTAAATAAACTTTATGATGAATTAGGTGAATAAAAAAAACATCATTTGATTTATAGTTATAACGGAAAATCATCGATTGTAAAGTGAAAGGCATAGATTCTATGTAAAATAATCATTGGTCAATTATAAAATTTCATAATTTGGTTCATATTAATTTGAGATTTTCTATAAAATGATATTCCAGGGCCCAAAAGGTTATATAGCTTAAATATGTGAAGTACTCCTGCAGTATGGAAACAGTACAACAAAATGGCCGTTTTATACTTTTTTCTAGTAAATTCCACTCTAATATATATTCTATTCTCTTTGGGTTTAGCATAGAGTAGCATAGTGTCTCTCAATTTATAGTGTTCTGTCTGATCCAAAATGGTTCCCATAAAAGCTTCGTCTGATGATCTGATGATCAAATCAAATTCAGGGAAAATTGAATATTCATGAAGTTCAAGCTTAAATTACTAGTGTTGTTGAGAAATTAGAAAATAACCTAATAACATTCAAGCTAAAATAACTCGTTTTCAGACCAAAATTCTGAAAATTATAAAAGATTTTTTCAACAAGTAAAAATCACTTCTTGTCTTGACTTCTTCGTATTTACTGACGCGGGTTGTAAACATTTAAGGTCATTTGCTATTCAAGATGCTAAACAATTATCTGAGATATTAAACTATGTATTAAAAATGTTTAGTCGAAAAGTTTACTTAATTTAATAATGATTACACTTTACTCTATAACCAAAGATATCAATCAAAACGAATGGTAAAATAGGTTTGGTGAATACCTTTGATCAGATTTTTTTTATAATGTAAAAAATCAAATTTTAAAGATCTTGAGTTGAGAACATGTTTAGGTTGCCATGCATCTGTTACAAGCAGGAGCTAACGAAGTAAAACTGGGAATCCAGAAACCAGGATTAAAGGGAACTAACGCCAACAGTATTATTGGAGTTTTATGATTTCTTTCACACTTTGCAACGTTTTGTCTTTCTGTGTTTGATCAACAAATATTAAAGTGAGATCGTTATGTTTATACTTCTAAATACTTGTGAATATCTTTTCAATTAGTTGAAACCCCGCAATTTGAAAATTATTTACATTTCAGCTTGCCTATAATCGCTCCGGCACTTTTCAACTTTAATAATTTTTTTGAAAACACTTTTGTGTCGTTTATCAATTCGGGAACATAACTTTTTTTATCATTTATTAATGCTATGATCATGTTAAACTGTAATTTTGTGGCTCTCATTGTACTTTATCTTGATTATTTTATATAGTTTACCATTGTGATTACACCGCATTATCTTAAATATATTTCCTGTAACAAATATCTCATGTACATTTATATCGGTATATTTACATATTTTTCTTTTTCTTTTCTTTTATTTTCCTAGACTTGTTCCAGTTAGGACAGGGTTCAGTAAAGGATAGGGGTGGGCATTTGAGCGTTTTCTTCACAAACTCAAGTTTTTTTAATCAACGGAAAATTCCGTTTATATCAGAGGTAAATTCCGTTTTAATCAATGGTGAATCGTTTTTATCAAAGTTAAATTCCGTTTTTATTAATGGTAAATTATGTTTTTATCATCGTTAAATTCCGTTATCAAACAGAAGACCTTTAATTGGCTTGCTTAAGCCGAACGAAAAGACCCACTTAATAGAAAACTAATTAACGAATGGGAACGAAATTCCTTTTTTTATGCCACCTTCTAATTAAAAACTTTTTTCTCAGGATTTAAGATCTTTTTTATCATTTTTTTGTTTTAAAAAAGGGGATTATAAAAGATTATTAAAAAATTGTACAAAATTATTTTAATAGTATTAGAACAGTGTTCGAATATTCCCACTTAGGGATTCTTGGGGCCTCGGGACCCTCCCCCCTGTGGACCCCGAAAACCCCAAGTGGAAAACAGCACCCCAGCATTTATTTTTGATATTTTCAAAATAATTGGTATTAGAAATAGTCTGAACATTCTTTTTATCTATTCCTTTTTTCAGAATTCTGCTAATCTCTGCTTCTTTTTTAATTCTGTCTGATATTTCTGGTTTGTTACAAGAAAGTTTATCTCAATTTATATTTCATTCGATATCTCAGCTACTGACACTGAACCCATAAACAATCATGAAATAATAACCCTTGCAAGTTTTCTGGAATTATATATTTGCTATATCAGCAGGTTTGTAGATTGTTTAATGTAGATAACTATAATGCTAAATGTAGATCTATACACAATAATCATTTAATGTGTATGCTTCCTAGCTCTGTTGCAGGGTGGGGAAAGAAAAAGGAACATTGAACCAAACGTGGAATATAGAAAATTTGAAGGACCTAATGTCAGAATCTCCACTTATAAATAATGACAAATGTAAAAAAATTAATTTTGGCTAGGAGTAGATTTTCAACAGTTGTACTCTTGAAACTGATGCTTAAGAACATCTGGAGCAGTACTTGTAAATGATACTTGTACTTGATGCTTCTCCACATTAGGAAGGTCCGTGGTTAATGGATAATTACATGTTTTCAATGGGTTGTTGGTTTTACTTAAAAACTAGCTCACCAGACCTGTTTCTAAGGAGTGCAAGTCAAGCGTTTCCATAGCCTTGACCTGGAGGTAAAAAACCTCTGTTTTCCAGGGTAATACAGCGTTGACAGATGGATGCAGGCATTCCTTGTAAATTATCTTGTTTTTCTCTTCAATTTCCCTTCATACCTTAAGTTTCTTAGGTGTGTATGTTTAACTTGGATTTGCCATTTTTCTCTGTCTCCTTGTACTCCTAGTTACCGTTAGAATCACCTCTGCAAAGACCTAGGTTCTGCTTTGAGGAAAGCTAGAGTTAATATTATATAGCAAGACTAACTCCATTACCGAACTAATCGAACAAAATTTTTTAAAAATTGACGGAAAATGTTGTCAACGAAATGAGATTTGGTTGGTCGTTCGATAAAAGCGAATGGTTAGTTAAATTGACCGACAACAAACAAATAACCAATAAGTTGAAACGTGCACAAACCTAGTCGCCCTGGTTATAGGAAGGGGAGATCTAATTACGGAGAATAGAAATAGGAAATAGATACATGAAAGGAAGAGAAGGAGGGGGGGGGGTAGAGGGATTCTCGTTAAAAACTGGAAGAAAAGGGTGATCAGTATCACACTGGGGTTTTCATGTTTAATGAATCGCATCCGACATTATTTCTTCTGTACACATTTCTTGAAAAAGTGATAATCAATACTCAAAATACTTTTAAATTGCGTCGATCGCTCAATTTGAAGAAATATTTTAAATTTTAAAATTTTCCTTATGTCGCGGAAGACCGGGAAAAAATCCAAGGGTTAACTGATTAAAAAAATAATAGCACCGAAGAAATGAATTGTAAATTAATTATAATTTTTTGGTAGAATTTTAGAGACTTCATATCATACCATATCTGAATCTACCTGGATATCAAGAATTTAAAGAACAAAGTTGAGTTTATTTCAATAATCATTCATCCCATTCATTCATATATATAATACATAAAATATTTTAAGAAAAGAATACATAGATGATTTAATTTGTTTCCGGAATTAGAATTTCATTTGGAAGAAGCTCTTTATACTATACTTTAAACTATACTTGTCAAGTATTAATTAATACTTTGAGAATTTTAGGTTACTAATCAATCACAGTTCATCCTTTGGGTTCTTTTCGGTTTCATCTTCAACGATCTCTTCAGGTTTCTTCTTCATTGACTCTTCAATATTCTCAGTCTAGAAAAATAAGGTTCGTTCACATTGGTTAAGAGGAAGGAATGACAATCCTAATAAGGATTTTAAATAGTGTTTTCAGGTTTCATTTACATTAAAGAATTGATTACGTTTTTTATTTAAAGGTTGATGGATTACAATTTTGGCTGATAAAGGAAATCTTGGGACATATGATTTTTATATTACGCCACACTTTAATATTCAGGCCATTTTTTAAGATTTTTAAAAAAGTATTATCAGTTTCGCAGTAAATGCCGCGTGTATCGAAGACGATCTTACAGCCGGCACTTGATTTCCAAGATTATTGAATTACTCTAAACCAGGAAAATGTCCTAAAACCGTACTAAAACCAAAATGGCGCCCTGTCCCTGATTATCAACGAAAATGTCAAGGTACCTGAAAACTTTCAATAGTTTCCGGTAGTTCTGGTAGTTCATCATCATCCAGAGATACATCTCCGTTCTTCTCATCATCTGTCAAGAATATGCTGGAATGCCTGAAGATAAAAAATATTAAAAATGTTTAAGCCAAAAATAAAAATAAAACAAAATTCTGTAAAGATCAAAAATATTAAAAATTCAATTCAATTTATATTCAGGAAAAGAGTTCTTGACATTTAATTATTTCAAATTATGCAAAATTTAATCCTCCAGTGCACGAAATTAGAACAGAATATCAGATTATATAAAATAGATATTCAAATTCGTAATAAACCTAGAGGAGTGGGGTATAATTAGTTGTATAAATTTTCCGTGTGAGAAAAATAAAAAAATGTAGGTCTTGTTAAAAAGTTTTCTTCCTCTTCAACAGCTCTTACAACTACTTGATTGGAAATATAAAAGGTAATATACTATAATGAATTTACTATTTACCTATAAATCTAATCCTTATGATCCCTATTTACCTATTAATCTAATCCTTCTGATCCCTATGTACCTATTAATCTAATCCGTATGAACCCTATTAACCAATAAATATAATCCTTACGATCCCTATTTACCTATTAATCTAATCCGTAAGAACCCTATTTACCAATAAATCTAATCCTTACGATCCCTATTTACCTATAATTCTCATCCTCCTGAACCCTATTTACCTATTAATTTAATCCTCCTGATCCTTATTTACCTTTTAATTTAATCCTCCTGATCCCTTTTTACCTATTAATGTAATCCTCCTGAACCTTATTTACCATTAATTTAATCCTCATAATCCCTATTAATCTAATCCTCCCGATCCCTATTTACCTTTTAATCTAATTCTCCTGATCCCTATTTAGCAATAAATCTAATCCTCCTGATCCCTATTTACCTATTAATCTACTTCTCCTGATCCCTATTTAACTATTAATTAAATACTCCTGATCCCTATTAATCTAATTCTCCTGATCCTTATTTACCTATTGATCCAGTCCTTGACAGATTTGTAACTCTTGTCTCCTTGGTAAAGAATAGGATCATACTTCTCGTAAGCAGAAATGAAGAACAAAGAAGGATATCCCTAAACCAAATTTTATTAGTAAAAAATATTTTTTAAAACAACAAACCCCAATATTTAAATTAACTCCTAAAATATAATATTTTGAGATCTGCAGAGAGCAGATTAGAACTCCGAATACGTCATTTAAATAAATCCAAATTTAAAACAATTCAAATGACATAATAAAATGAAATTTTGCGAATTTTTGATGATTAGTTGACGTTTCTCAAAATCTTCACATCTCACATTGCATAATAAAGACAAATTCGTCAAATTCGTCCAAAAAACTGGATTTTTATAATTTCAACTTTTAGAAATCACGTGTACTACATTCCTCAACACCTTTACTGTATAAGGGATAAGGACGCAATTTATGCAGCAATGATAAACGTTATTAAAATATTTAACGTCCAATCAGATTTACAGGAAAAAAGTGAAAATTGTCGTCAGAGACCGTAAAAGGTGAATGGGCAAGTAAAGTCGCTTCAGAATTATAAAGATGAGAAGAAGGGTCAGACTAACTCTTCATCGATTAAATTAACATGAGAATTCTGACACTTGTCAAATATTATTAATCTTGTTCTAACCTGATGCAGAATATCTAATACGCGGCATTTTTATCAAGGTCAGAGCAGAACATTTTATCCCAGGAATTTAAGAAAATACGCAAATATTTCGGAAATGAAAAAAGTTCGAAATAATTTCTAATTCATGTTATTTTGAACAAATTTTAGAAGGTGAGGGGAATATTCTATTTTTAGATTTCAACCCATGCTTCAGGTCAGAATCCTGACAGGGGGTGAAGAGTTAAAATTTACCTTTAGGTTGGGAAACATGTACGGTTTGTCATTCACTGTCCCATCAATCTTGCCGAAGACGATATTCTCATTAGTCTTTGTAATTTTTTTCGCAACTTTTTTCAAAACCGGGTCCATCTCCTGTAGGCAGAACAGAACTTTATAATAAATAAAATAAATAATATAATTAAACAATAAAAATTAATTTTAAATCGCGATATGGGTGAGGAGAAGGGGTGGGGAGCCAGACATATTAATTAAGGGAGTTATTTTCAAGGAGAAAAATTCATGCTTCCTTGAAAAAATATCCGACATGAAAAAAACTACTTTACGAGGATATAAAGGTGAATGATTGGGGAGATTTAAATCTAATAACCTTTACTGTTCAAATAAATCAAGCATAACTTAATGTTCCAAATACAAAAATATAATTTAATAAAAACACGTTGAATGCCCCCCGCCCCCCGGGGTAACATTGTAAAGATTACCCGTATCCCTCAGACTAACAATTTAGACAAGAAATGTCGTCTTCGAAAAATAATTGTTTAAATGAATTTCAAGATATTGAAGCGTCTGTTTCCTTGCAGTGCCCGCACCAGGGCGCATAGAAGAAGAGAACTGCATCCTTCTTCACCATATGGATCTCTTCGTCGTAGTTGTCCGCAACAATCTGATTAAATCAAAAACATTTAAGGTACTGTAGACGTAATATCAAGTGACCCTACATTTAAAGAGCCGGACATGCCAGATTCACAACGGAGCCCTTTAACAATGTGGAAGAAAGCCTCGTTTTTCAAGCTTTAAAATAATAATTAATTCAGTCTTGAATAAACATAGTTGGTATTGTTGTGAATCTGTCATGCCACTTTATAAATAGAAAGCAACGTGAAATAATGTCTAAAGTCCCATAAAAGGCCGATAGCCAAACAAAATCCAAAATAGAGAAAGCTTCAGAAGAACAAAATCTTGAGGAGTGTGTCTGTAAAAAATCACACAGGTAATGCATTAAAGTATAATTATTGATATCAACATGAAATTTGTTGAACTCATGGCAACTATTTTCATCTATGGTGTTCAGCAAAGCAACTTTTATCAAAATAATGAATTATGCAGAACTAGATGAAGGACCCGGCTTTGTCCGTGATGAATGTCTTGTTTTATTATATAAATTTACCTTTCTAATAATGCTGTCTTGCCGCTTGGGAACTGGTAGAGATTTCATAAACGGTTTAACCTAAAAATTATGATAACTTTATTTTAAAACTTGTTACAGAATTAAAAACTACAATGTTAACTTCATATTAAGAACATTTCATTTGTCATTATAATTCTTAATTCTTACCTTGCCAGTCCGGAGTCCTTCCACAAAGTTGCCCAGGCTCTCAGGCTCAAAATCTTCCTCCACTGCCATCCTGATATTTTAAGGGACTGGTAACATTATTTTAAGAACAAATATATTATTTTTTAGAAAATGTACAACATAGCCGTCGAGGCTTTTCAAATTACGCCAGCTAGAAAACTGACTAATTTTCATCTCTTTTCAATGGAATACTAATACCCAATCTTCCACCGGAAAAGGATTAAAGGGAACAGTTGGGAATCAGTCTCAAATCTCATTGACAATCCCTTAACGGTTATCTACAAAGATTTCCCTGTTTCCGCTTCAGTTTCCATTCCATTTCCCTTTGAATTAGATATATTAACATTTTTATGCTTTGCCCAGAAAACTAGAATTTTATTCCTTCAGTTGACATACATTACAGTTTTAATATCATGTTGGTCAGTTTGTTAAAAGATAAATAAACTTTGTACAGTAGTAACCAAAAAAGTGTGGAACGTAGTATTCGTCACATTTTTTAAGATAGGTGAGTTATAAATTAAAAGATCCTATAATAGATCAGTTACAAATAAAAAATCAAATTTATCTGATATCCTACCTAAACCTCTGCTTATCTGTGTTGTAACAGATATATCCTACCTAAACCTCTGCTTATCTGTGTTGTAACAGATATATCCTACCTAAACCTCTGCTTATCTGTGTTGTAACAGATATATCCTACCTAAACCTCTGCTTATCTGTGGTGTAACAGATAAATCTTACCTAAACCTCTGCTTATCTGTGTTGTAACAGATATATCCTACCTAAACCTCTCCTTATCTGTGTTGTAACAGATATATCCTACCTAAACCTCTGCTTGTCTGTGTTGTAACAAATATATCCTACCTAAACCTCTGCTTGTCTGTGTTGTAACAGATATATCCTACCTAAACCTCTGCTTTTCTGTGTTGTAACAGATATATCCTACCTAAACCTCTCCTTATCTGTGTTGTAACAGATATATCCTACCTAAACCTCTCCTTATCTGTGTTGTAACAGATATATCCTACCTAAACCTCTCCTTATCTGTGTTGTAACAGATATATCCTACCTAAACCTCTGCTTGTCTGTGTTGTAACAGATATATCCTACCTAAACTTCTGTTTATCTGTGTAATAAACACATATATCCTTCCTAAACTTCTGTTTATCTGTGTAAGAAACAGATAAATCTTACCTAAACTTATGTTTATTTGTGATTTAAATAGAAAATCCTATCTAAACTTCTGATTATCTGTGTAAGTAACATATATATCCTATTTAAACTTCTGATTATCTGTGTAAGTAACATATATATCCTATTTAAACTTCTGTGCATCTGTGTAATAAACAGATATATCCTACTTAAACTTCTGTTTATCCGTGTAAAAAAAACAGATAAATCCTTCCTAAACTTCTGTTTATCCGTGTAAAAAAACGGTAAATTCTACCTAAACTTCTGTTTATCCGTGTAAAACAGATAAATCCTTCCTAAACTTCTGTTTATCCGTGTAAAAAAAAAGATAAATCCTTCCTAAACTTCTGTTTATCCATGTAAAAAACAGATAAATCCTTCCTAAACTTCTGATTATCTGTGTAAAAAATAAATAAATCCTTCCTAAACTTCTGTTTATCCATGCAAAAAACTGGTAAATCCTACCTAAACTTCTGTTTATCTGTATAGCAGGCAACATTAACGTCAGCTCCAGAATCTTCTAAACCAAGAGCTTTAAGTTCATCCTCAAACTCTTCCTCATTGCTGAAAAAAAGTTAGTAAAAATTTTTGCGTTATAAAAATTCAATAACAAAATACCATTCAATGGTTAAATAACCTTTTTCTTCAACAAGTGCTGTATCTAATACTTGAAACAATGTTAAAAGAAACGAAACAATGTTATGCATTGTTCAGAAAATAAAACAATTTTGACCCATCTGACACTTGTAGCTTGGATTTAAAAATGGAAAATAATTCCAAATTTTAATATTTGATTTTAAATTCCTAATTTTTATGACTCTATCATACCTGAGAGCAAATCGTAGATTGGAATCTATAAAATATTTTGCCACTTTTAGAACTTTCTCTCGGACAAACTGGGTGTCCTAAAAATAATTACAATTAAACCTTGAATTTAGACTTTTTTTGCTGTTGTAGCTAAAAGCCAACAAGTTCTAATAGATTGTAAAATAGTTCAACAAATACATAACAATGTAATAATATAGATGTTTTAGTTTAAGATATTTCAAGCTTTAGTGTTATCATGCTCAAAAGTATAGCTAAGGATCCACAATTAATTTTGATGCAGACCCAAGAGCTGTCTAGTGAAAATAAATCCCATGTATTGTTATTTCTCAAAGACTTAAAAATTCATTTTACCAATGACAAATTTCCCATATTTCATCTGCTTTTTTCGATAAGAAGAGCTTATAAGAGCAATAGGTTTCAGTTGATGTCTGCGAAAATTATGCAACTTGTGGATCAGCATCCTAAACACTGTTTAGAAGTTCTAAAATTACCTCACAGTATTCATCTTATGTTTATTTTCTACCTTGACGAACTGATGATCGAAATTAACATCATAATAGAGAACAATAAGAGGTCTCTCACTGTATTTATGAAGATTAGTTCGAGTTCTCTGCCCAACCAGAGGAATTGAACTTTTCCTAAACATTTTTTAAAAGAATCAATTTTAATTTCAAAATGGTGGTATTTAATTCTACTTTTTGATAAAACTATGCTTGATTAGAAATGCCGATAATGATATTTATTTGTAACTAAATATTACAACTGGTTATCAAAAATGTTCAGGGGAAATTATTTGAGATTTGGCAGTTATAAATTAAAAGAGTTGGGTGGAGTTTGAGGTTGTGGACATCCTTAACCACTAGATTCCATATAGACCAGTGCAAGTGACGAAGCTCAATCACTTCTTTATTGTTTTATAATCTATAGGTAACGGTACTTTGTCTGTAGGTTGATTGTTTATAATAATAATAAAAGTAGAAGCAGGCCGGGAGTCTAACTGAGAGAAAGATAATAGATATATTTTGCAATAGTTATTAAATTATTTAAACATACTTTTTAAATGAAAGATATGAGCCTTTTAACTAAATCATTCGACTTTGGCCACGAAATTTTTAGTTTGTTTAGAAAGACAAAACAGGAACGTGAACAGAAATTTGTCCATTATGTCTAAGGGGTACCCCCCCCCCCACTTAAACAGCCAACCCTGCAAATTAAATCCATAGTAATTTCCTAGAGAACGATTTTTGGACCCCCCCCCAACAGTGGGGTATTATGGGAGGGTCAGCCAAAATAAGTTTATTCAATAAACCTCTCATTTATGTCAAATAAGATTAGGCCGCAGAAGAATTTCTTAAGTTGTTTAAATGGTATGTTTTAGCTAAGAATTTCGACCAAAACCCCGCTATTTCATTGAAAAACAGGATTTTTTGACACGCTACTCTGACGAAAGCAAGGATTTGGGGTACTGCGGGAGACCCTAATTTTTTTCTATATGGCTATTAGAATCTTTTTATATATTTAGATTATCCAGGGACCAGAAAACTCTGTGCTTTCTTGTGCTTTTACTATTTTTCTTCCAAACTCGATGGAACAAAGACGACAGCTAGATATATTGCAGGATTACAGGATCCATTTCAAGGATACATTTATAAAAGGGAAAAGTAATTATAAATTAAATCATTATAAATAAATAGTAGCTGCAATTCATACAATGTTTGTAAATGAAAAGATTATCAGAATATTTTCATTTTGTCCATTCTCACCATGAAACACAAGACAAATGCATTTTATGATGAGTATTNCCCCCACCCAGTATACGCCCCTGTAGGTCTGATATTAAACAAGCTGAGCAAGATGTTCTACCTGACGAACTGAATGATCTCCTTGTATGTCCCAGACTTCTTGGTGAACGAGAACGTCTTGTTCTCATACGGAGAATGGTAGATCTGTGGATAATAAGACATTTTTATTTAATTTAAGATTAATAAATAATTTTTTCTTCAAAAATAAATATTTATGAATTAAAAAAAATATGTGCTTCATTCCTCAGGTTGGAAAACTGTTACTGTATCAGGAGGGAATCCAAACTCTTTAGCCAGAGCAGTATCAGTAGTGTGGAGAAATCTAAATATAGAGCAGTATCAGTAGTGTGAAGAAATCTATCAGTATCAGTAGTGTGGAGAAATCTATCAGTATCAGTAGTGAGAAGAAATCTAAATGTAGAGCAGTATCAGTAGTGTGGAGAAATCTAAATAAAGAGCAGTATCAGTAGGGTGGAGAAATCTAAATATAGAGCAGTATCAGTAGTGTGGAGAAATCTAAATATAGAGCAGTATCAGTATTGTGGAGAAATCTATCAGTATCAGTAGTGTGGAGAAACCTATCAGTATCAGTAGTGTGGAGAAATCTAAATAAAGAGCAGTATCAGTATTGTGGAGAAATCTATCAGGATCAGTAGTGTGGAGAAACCTATCAGTATCAGTAGTGTGGAGAAATCTATCAGTATCAGTAGTGTGAAGAAATCTAATTATAGATCAGTATCAGTAGTGTGGTGAAATCTAAATAAAGAGCAGTATATCAGTAGTGTGGAGAAATCTATCAGTATCAGTAGTGTGCACGGAGAAATCTAAATATAGATCAGTATCAGTAATATGTGATATGTGAGATGAGATCTACAAGAAGCCAGATCTTGGGTAACCCAGTAGCAGAGTCATGGCTAGAAACACCAAAGGTTTACGACATCAGGTTGAAAAGCTAGAAAGAATAGGAAATGAGAGTTTGAGGCAAGTATTCATTCCTTGATTTACCTGAAAAGACCTCTCATCTCGTTCGCGGCGACCAGGTATTCATCAAACAAATCAGATTTGCCTTTGAAGAAACCAACTACAGTAGCTTCCAGTCTTAACAAATTTAAGTTTTAACTTTAGACATTTCGCGAAAAAAAGATGTTTACTGAATAAAGACAATTATGTGATTTAAGAATTTTTCAAAAGCCATGTTATTGTAAAAGTGAAATTTAAAATTTATTATTAAAAAAATTATGATATTCAATTTTTTCCACATCCATTCCTCTATCTTTATGTTTACACTTAGTGACAAAACTATCCTAAATTGTTAAATTCATGAATTCTAATTCTTCATTATTCCATGGAGTTTATATTTTTCAGTTTGAAATGAGCTTTTATTGGGTTTGGGAGAAAAACGTGAAGAAAAAAGGAAAAAGGGGGAAGAGAAGAAGAATTAAGGAAAAGGGAAGGGGGAAGGGAAGGGAAAAGGGAAGGGAAAAGGGAAACCATATTTCGGTATTTTAAGATTTTAAAATGACTCGAATTTTCATTTTTTTTGGAATTTATTATTAATGTGTAGTTTCTTTATTAACCTTAGAGAGTACAATCCCCCACTCCTGCAGTTCCTGCGCAGCTCCCTCGAACTCAGGTTCAAGCTGTTTACAATGTTTACACCACGGGGCGTAGAACATCGTCAACATCAAGTCCTTCGTCTTCGCCACCTTCGTGAAGTTATCCTAGAAGATAAAAACATTATTCTTCAAATTCTTACAAACTTCCAACTGTGTATTGTGTAATATACTTGCTTTATTCTATGTATTCTGTTTTAGTTTTTTTGTCTTCCTTGATTTTTGATTCACGTAGTTTTCAGAGACTCTGTAATAATAAAGTGTTCATGACCGACTCACAAATGTACCCTTTAAGGCTTCGTCTGTTCAAGAATGCATGAGATATCCATAATTTTCTCTTTGAAAATTAATAGGAGGAAAAAAAGAAAAACGAAGATATCTTCCACATTACTGATCAGATCAAGATTTGAATAGTACCCTTGTGAACTAAGCATGCCCACATACAATAAAAGGTCACTTAAAAGAACAACGACATACAGACCCTTTAAGGTTTTAAAATTTGCGTTTAAATTTGTCTCCCCTTTAAATATTATATAAAACATCTTTTTTAAAATTTTTAAATTTTAAAATCTATTCGTATTAGAAAATTTATATTTTTATTTTCAAACTACACCTGAGATAAGGTAAGAATGACACTAGGTGGAGGGCTCCAGTTAGGATCTGCCTGTTTACGCATATAATCAACTATTTCACCAGACGTCCTAACGCAAAATTAAGCGTCGATTCTCAATTCTTAAATTCAAAATGTTTTATCTTTAGGACTTTTTTGTACCTGGATCCTGTATAGTCTTCGACCTTATTCCCGTTCTTGAAGAGTAATAATGTTGGGAATCCTTGGACAAAATATTCTTTAGCGAGCTCACCCTCTTTAGTAGCATCAACCTAAACAGTTCTTTGTATTGAGATGTCTTTAAATGTCGTCTGTCAAAACTTGTACGAAAAAAAAACTATTACTATCGCCTATATGGTTACATAGAACTTCAGACCGTAGGGAAACACTTTTAAAACTTACTTTCATTTAGTAGTTGGTACGAAATTATCATAGAAAACGATTTTGCGCTCTTAAAGTATAAAATAATTACAATTTTTCACATTTATGATTTAAAATTTACATAAAACTTTTGGTGAAAAAATTTAAAAATTACTAATAATTTTGACCCAAAATATAATATTGTTAAAATTAATTCGAAATATAAGGAAGACGATTTTTCCGACTCAAATGCCCCAGCCTTTTCTCTAGATGTATGTGTACTCAAGATCCATTTCCTCCTCATGTAGTGCCCACATGTCGAATCCCCGTTCATCCCAGCTCCCGGGTATTCAGTCATGTTAGGACAGTTGAACTAGTAACAGATCCCATGAAGTACCATCAAATATCCATCCATAATTCCTTTGTTAATTTCTAAATCAACCAATTTTAACTCCGCCTTAAATGCAAATATTTCAAAACACTTTCGTTTAAATAAATGTTAGAAATATCCATTTTAGATCTCTTTATTTTATTATAGTGACTTTTCATGTCAACAAATATATATTCGTTTTCGTTTCTTAGTTCTTATAAGACTCCTACCTTAGCTAAGGGTATTCCTTCTTTTAAGAGTTCTTTCGCAGCTTTAGCATATTCCGGCTCCAGGGTCTTACAGTGCCCACACCAGGGGGCATAGAACTCAACCAATACTAAGTCCTAGCAAACAAACGAAAACATTAAAAGAGAAATAATCGAAATTTTCAATTTAATGGATCCGGATAAATCAAGCATTTCCCGAAATTTGTTCTTACAATGATAACTAGAAAACTCTGGAGTAGTAAGACGTCTTTACTTAAGTGTATTTGATGTTTTAACAAAGCAAATATTTTTACCAGACACTTATTGAATAACTAATTTAGTGAAATGGGTCTGTTTACGTTTCACATTTGCTGTGCCCCATTTTCATTGGACTACTTGAAGTCATAACTAGAGTTTAAAAGTCATCTTCCTATTTCAGATTTTTCTGGTTATAACTGTAGTAATAATTCTAGTTTTTAAATTTTACTTCAGCTGCAACCATTTTTTAGCACTTACATTTTTTTATTTAATAAAATGTTAATTTTTTGTATTTTTTACCGGCAATAAACCTTCGTTGCGATTATTTGGGATTGATCTGTTTTGTTTTTTTGATGATTATAGCAGACAAACAAACAGACAAGCATGTCCATACATAGATATAGTAAATAAGGCAAACACGATCAATAAATTAACAGGTTTTTAATATTCTCAACTTACTCTGTTTTTCACGAAAAATGCAAACGTATCTCTGGTTAGAACATAAACTTCTTCATCCTTTATTATATTGTAGTTACCCCGAGGGGCCTTCATAGGGTTAACATCTGATTCAAGATCTCCGTCATTCTCCCTGAACATATAGGGTTAATATTAGATATAATATTTCATTCATTCTCCCTGAACATACAGGGTTAATATTAGATATAATATTTTATTTATTCTCCCTGAACATACAGGGTTAATATTAGATATAATATCTTATTTATTCTCCCTGAACATATAGGGTTAATATTAGATATAATATTTTATTCATTCTCCCTGAACATACAGGGTTAATATTAGATATATTTTATTTATTCTCCCTGAACATACAGGGTTAATATTAGATATAATATCTTATTTATTCTCCCTGAACATACAGGGTTAATATTAATTATAATATCTTATTTATTCTCCCTGAACATATAGGGTTAATATTAAATATAATATCTTATTCATTCTCCATCAATAAACAAAAAGGGTTAATAAGTAATTTCCAAGTAAAGAATTTATGGACCCGCAATTCCCTCTCATGATCTCCCTGAATTGGATTAATATTAGATACAAGATGGATGATCCAATTAGCATACATAAATACATAAAGGGATAAGTTAAGCATCAAATATTATATCACTCTTGACATGACAATATGAGAAATGAGAAATCATGAAACCATGAAACGATGAAAATAAATTTAATGAATAAATTTTAGGGTAAAAATGATAAAAAGATTGGAAATCCAACCCATTAAAAATATTAGGGGCCGGGGGGNAGGATTTCCTGGTCCTTCATCTTCTCCCGCCCAGACATTCTCCCATAAGCTCAAGCAGAAGAAGATCAACCCCACCACATGCATACCTGGAATATAGACACAAATACAATACATATACAGGGTGTCCCAATCATCGTTGCAATTAATTTCAAAGGTTCATCTTTTCATCTTATTTCTCCTTTCTCCATCTGCGCGTCCGTATAGGTTAGATCTTTTTCTTGCTCCTTTATGCCAGACTATTTTTGGCGCTTTTTTTTTGAAAAAATGTAAACACATCTCTGCAGTCTGCATCTTGCGCCATTTCTAGACAGTGTGATCACTGATCAACTTGTCCGTGATAAGGTTCAAAAAAAGTTCCTACAATAATTTTACACCGTCTGGGCATATTTTAAGGTTTCCAAAATGTATAGTCTGGATGATTTACCTTCAAAATTGATTGAACGACATAAATATGGCGGCAAATTATATTCTTATGAATGATGTCAAAACTAGTATTAAGTATTTTTACTTGGAAAAAAACAGTTAAAACATGCATGTTTACCTTCCTCAAGCTTTCATTCTTAAATTAATTATATCTTTGCAACCTGAAGTTGCAGAACTTTCGCAATTCAAACTAAATTGATTCAGCTATATATGAATATATAGATCAATTTGAATAGTATTGCGCGGTCAGAAATATTAAAGGTATACACCAGCAGGAAGATAAAGGGATTCAAAAATTAGGTTTTTAGTGAATTATCATAATTCCACAATCTATATATAAATTTGGCTTGTCTGTCTGTTTGTATCCAATAAACGTCAAAACGGCTGAACCGATCGGGCCCAAATTTTTTGTGGGACATCTAGGGACCCCTGGGAAGGTTTATAAATGATCACAATTTCAAATATGTGTCTCCATCAAAACTCGATCTTCATTAAATTTTTAAAAATTTTGAAAATCCGCGAAATTTTTTGCGATAATCCGCGAATTATTTTTGTTTTGTTTTACGATGTACACAAAGAGAACATGTTCACAATTAATTTAGAAGATGGGCGCGAAGCGCCCTATAAGGCTAGTTAATAATATTTTATATGTTGAAACAGAATTGAATAGAAAATTATTCAATATACCTGACGTTTTAAATCGGCTATAATTTTCCTAATATCTGTAACTTTACAGCCGCTGCAGTACTGCACAGATAGTTCTCAGCATGTACCGTTACCGTGTACACAGTCTGGTGGATTTGTTTGAACTGCTATCATGCTATGGTTGATGAACACAGTAACCTGTATGAATACTCCAAATACACTTCGATATACTTGGACCAATCCAAAACATTGAAAACATTACGTGTAAACTTCTAAACAAAATTAAGTTTTTACTTAAATTAACAATAGTTTACCTTTGACATAAATCTAAGCTTCACACGTTTAAAAACTCCATTAATATTTACGTTGTTTATTATCATTTGCTAAAATTTCCCTGATTTCTTCACGGAAGATGGTTTTAGCAGACGACCCGGTTTCTTTCAACCAATGAGAGTTCAGCCCGTAGCGTCAACCAACCAATCAGAATCCGACATTCAACTATAGGAAGTAAAAGCAACAGAAGTAACAGATTTCAGAAGACGTTTCAGAAAATTATGAATATACAATTATAGGGAAAGGGGACATGGAAATATTGCCAATTATTCGATGTAACCTTAAATTAGCGATCTCGTTTTATTTAAAGGAAAAAATATTGGGAAATTATTAATTATTATATAAAGAAAATATTTCATGATAAGACTTCGAGCTGTAAAAAATAATCGTAAAATAGGATGGATAAAATATAAATATTTAAGTAATGCTAGAACTTTTTTAAGGCTATTGGTTAAAAAAAGAATAAAAATCTTCAACGACGACATTCTAAAAAAGCTTCTTACTTTTCGTCTGCTATAGCATATCATCAAACAGCTGAATCTGAAAATACACAAACCCGCCAAACTCAAGGGAAAAAACTAAAACAAAAATTATGCAAAATGTCTGGTATAGTGAAACTAAATGACGTTGTATTCTGTAACTCTGAGCATCCTCGACACAAAGTTCAAAATTTAAGGACTGGGGCAGGAAAATGGACTGGGTCACTGAAACATGAGGTATATATAAACTGAAATAAATAAATGTCCTATCAATTTTGTACATGCAATGCATGCATAAACACATGGATAAAGTAGGTCACATGGCTGCAGCGCCCGGCTTATTCTAGCCGCGGCGCTCGGCCAAAAAGCCTGCTTTAGCCGTTATAGAGATTGGCCCCCAGCCTGTCCTAGCCGCAGCGCTCGGGTCTGTCCTAGTATACGATTTTTGGACCCCCCCACCCCCCCCTCCTATCAATTTTGTACATGACCATTTATTTTTCAGCAAATTTATTATTATTTATTTTTTTGTTATTTAGGGTTAGGTTAGGTTAAGATACTTTCTGGGCCGAGCGCTGAGGCTAGGATGGGCTAGGGGCCCGAGCGCTGCGGCCACGGGTTAGGTTAGTTAAGACACTTTCTGGGCCGAGCGCTGCGGCTAGGACAGGCTAGGGGGTCGAGCGCTGCGGCCACGGGTTAGGTTAAGTTAAGACACTTCTTGTCAGACCCATGTACATAATTGATAGGAGGGGGGAGGGGGGGGTCCAAAAATCGTTCTCTTGGAAATTACCTAATTTTGTTTTAAATTGTTGAAATCGAAGGTCTGTCCTGGCCTCAGCGCTCGGCCACTTAGCCTGTCCTAGCCGCAGGGTTCGGTCCAGAAATTGTCATTACACTGAAATAATACAAAAAATTATTTTTTTGTTAAAATAGTTGAAATCTAGGTCATGTACAAAATTGATAGGAGGGGAGCAGCCGAAGGGGGGGGGGGGCACGTGGTCCATAAAGTGCCAAATGTGATCAAAATCACTTAGGAAATGATATTGGACTCCAAATACATCCTAATAAGGGTTTTCGTGGATGAGGATTTCAAATCTGAAGTCAAAACTTAATTTCGCGCGCGCGCTACGCCTGCACACGCACGTAAATTGTGAATTTAGAAAAATGGATGTTGTATGTCAATTCCAGGTTATATTGGGCCAAGGATTTCAAGTCTGTCATCAAAATTGCAAATTTTCGCGCGTGCACGTCGCGAGCGCGCTTAAAAATCAAAGAGATTTGAAAATGCATGTTGTATGTCTGTTCTATGTGCGCGTTACGAGCGTCGCGCGCGCGCTTAAATCTAAAGAGTGTATTTGTGAAAAATGCATGTTGTATGTCTATTCTAAGGTATTTTGGGTCAAGGATTTCAAATCTGTAGTCAAAATTGCAATTTTCAAAATAAAGAAATTGTCAGGAAAAAAACTTGATTGCAACTTTATTACAGTTTACTCTTTAATGTAAGAAATCACATACTTCCTCATTTGTAACCAGTGTCTCTTTAGTCAAATTGCAACGCCAACTGAACTGATGAGACCGTCAATCGGAATCATTCACTTTTACAAATCTGTTTTATGTTTTATCTTCTTTTTCGGTATTTATGTTTATTCTTGATTCTTTCCCAAATGAGTGTATTTTAATGATTTAATATTAGCCCGATTTCTTTGACGAGCTGTAACTTGCTTTGACTCTGACTATGTTTTGAGATCATAGCTACAAGGTTGGATTTCAGATCATAGTCAAAGCTCATTCATAAATCAAAATCTTGAGGTTGGATTTAGTATGATTTCAGATCTAGTCAAAGTACAAGTAATTTGTTTTATGAATCCAATCTAAGCTGCTCTGACTATGATTTGATGACAGCTGGCCTTCCTAACTGACAGCAAAAAATAAATTTAGTGAGCATTGATATTTTCTCGACCCCTTTAAAAGTCGTCTTTGATTTAGCCTTAAAATTGTAAAATATTTGATAAATTAGATAGATGGATAGACTAATAAAAACATAGATAGATAGATAGAGATAAAACATGAAGAAAAAAAGAAAATAACAGAAATAATATATAAAAGGAAATATCTGATAAAAAGGTTTATTTTTGTTTTAAAAAAATCTTTTTTAGTATTCAAAATAAAAATAAATATTCTTAAGAAAATTTTCATTTTTTATTTTAAAAGTATTTTTTAGAAAATATTTTTTTTAATTTATTAGTTAAAAAATTAAAAAAATATCTTTTTAAAAAAATATTATTTTTAAGTTTTTTTAAAATTTGAAAAAATATCATTTATAGGTTTTTAAAAAATCTTAGAAATATTTTCATTTTTCTGAACTATGCATCTTGGCATATTATTTCTGGTCTCTATTTTCATGTTTTGCAATTTAAGTAGTTTTAATGTCTGCTTATTTGTACCCAAAATCATGGTAAATGCCTAAAAATGGCGACTAGTTTGTTCCCATTTGCTGGGATTTAGCTGTGAAGTCGAAGCTAAATCCAACCTCAGGTGTGATTTTCATCAGCTGATGTTTAGCTATGATTTAGCTCCGACTTCAGATCAAACATAAGCTTCGATCTTGCTCTGATTTTGGACTAACGAATACAAAATCATAGCTAAGCTAGGAAGTCGCAGCTAAATCATAGCTAGAACCGGACAAAGAAACCGGGCTAATGTCTGCTTATTTGTACCCAAAATCATGGTAAATGCCTAAAAATTGCCAATAGTTTGTTCCCATTTGCTGTGATTTAGCTGTGAAGTCGAAGCTAAATCCAACCTCAGGTGTGCTTTCCATCAGCTGAAATTTAGCTAAGATTTAGCTCCGACTTCAGATCTAACCTAAGCTTCGATCTTGCTCTGATTTTGGACTAACGAATACAAAATCATAGCTAAGCTAGGAAGTTGCAGCTAAATCATAGCTAGGTTCTAGAAATCGAACTATTGTTTCAAGATTTTTCTTCATAATTTGTATAATTTAGTATAGGGGACAAGGGGGGCCGGGGGTTAAAGGGGGAGCAGAGACTGATTAACTGTCAACCATATTTTCTTCTTTTTCAGGGGACTCATCTTGGGGGAGGGGGGGGCTTAGCCCCAATGCCCCCCCCCTCTTTTTCACTCCTTAAAAAGATTATTTGTTATAATTGAGTTGTTTTGTATCGAAACAATAGTGTAAAATCATAAAATGGGAGAATTTAAAAAAGAAAAAATACATAATTATTGAAAATCAAGCAACCTCTCGGTTCTCTCAGTTTTGATATTTTAGTGCAACCTATAAAACTTGCTATTGACACCTCATGTGCAAGTATGTGCAGCTAATTGTTTTCCTTGCCATTTCTATACTTCAATTGCAACATTTTGGCATAGGTCTCATACTCAGGGTATTTCGGGGGAAAAAATCCCAAGAACTACAAACATTTATTTCTCAAAAAAACGTCTTTTTAAAATAGAATTTAGTTCCCCTCTGAAATTTTTTTATCATTAATCTAGTTTTTTTTTATTGCGTTACTTATTTATTTTGTAAAAAAAGTTATTGCCAAATTTTCATTTCATTGGATCATTTTTTTGGGAAAACCTGTTCCAAAATGTATTTAAACTTTCAAAAAAAAAAACACATAAAAAATTTAAATTCTGATGATTCAAATTAAGGGTTTTGCTCGTCCCTGGACCTGCACAAAAATCATGCTCTCGGTCAAACCCTAAATGTCAGCTTTCACAATTTAATTGATCGTAAATTAAATAAAGAATCAATTGATGATGATGAGGATGATTTTCTAGAAAATATATAAAGTATTTTTTTGGGGAGGGGGGGGGGGTTAAACAATTTAAAATTGATTTATGTTTCTTGGTACTTTCAGTTTTTATCATCGGTCATCCACAAGGGTGTATTCAGAAATAATTTTATGCATCCCACCCTAGGAGCTCCTAGGGGGGGGGGGGCAAAATTTGAACTGTAAATTCAAAAAGAATTTGTGTCTGTACAGGTACAGAAAATTAAAACCTTTGATTGATAATGTTTCATTACAGGGTGAACTTGTTTGTGAATTCTCCCTGGTTTCTCCAACCATGATTACGAGGCTTGATATAGGTTTGTAATTACAATTTTTAATACATTTATCTTCAAATAACATCATACTTTAACCCTATATCCTTTCCTGTAAAATAGTAAAAATGTTTGCAAAAAAATGTCCAAAAATTATATAATATACATCTTCAAAAGCCCGTGACAATGCTATTTCAAATATGCAAACATTTTTGCAAAATTTTAAATAACCTGATGTGTATTAAGAAAAACTTTTAATGTGCAAATTTCATTGGACGGGTTACTTGCAAAAATTATTAAAATCTGACAACTGAAAATGGGTTAAAACAAAGATTTAGTTTGTTACAGGAAAAAGTAGTTATTTAGGCAGTGTTTCTGAGAACTCAGGTAGTTAGTATAAAAGCCCGGTTTTAGACCTAAAGGGAGGGCTACATGGGTATTTAGGAAAAGTCGGAAAATGTCAACAGCCTCAGACCAATACTTTTTGAGTTACGTAAAAAAACTACTGGGGGGGGGGGCGGTCAAATTGACCCCCCCCCCCCCCCAATCAGGAATAGAAAATACTTCAGAATTTGCATTTGATAAACAAGAAATAATAAAGCAGCGCTTAGGATCCGCATAATATGCAGATCCTCGCGGACAAATATCAATTAACCCAACAAAAAGTCAATCCTTTTTTTCTAAAATCATAATTTTTCAAATGAAAACTTCTCTTTTGCATTGGTAGTAAAAAGTAGTATAGTTTTTGAAATGATTTTTAAAAATTAATTTTACCCTATTTAAAAAAACTGATTTTTTGCACTGCGCGCTTGAAGAGGGGTTTGGAAATAATTTTCAAAGAAAATACATACTCTCTTAGTGGGTGAAATTAAATGATTATTATAGGACATCATTAAAGTGAATTAAGATGTAGTAACATTTATCTGATTCGTTAAACATTTTCTATCTGTGATTTAGTTGCGATTTTTCAGGCTAGTTAGACGAGGAAGTCATAACTATATCACAGCTAGAAAATGTTAATCGAATCGCCTCCTTGTGTTACTGGAACTTTTTAATACTTTATTTTTTAAAGGAAATTTCTGGAGTGCCAGCGTTGAAGTTTCTGTTGGTCTAAGTTCCTGGCCACCCACACAGGTAAACACTTTTAACGATAAACTTTCGCCATCCCACCCTCCGGTCCATTCCAATGCCCTCTCCTCAGTGTTTTTTTAAAATCAAAAATGAAAAATTTAATCTCTAATTACAATTACATGGACCACTGTGAAAGAAATTTGAAATGTTATATAATAAATAAATTGGTTTTCATACCATTCTTTTTGATGAAATGAAATTTGATATTTTTCTCTGAAATTTTGCAATTCAGCAAAATATAATTATTTTAAAATTTAGAGAGAAATTGTGTTGAATCATAACTTCATGAACCGTTTGACCAGTATATCAGGTTAGCTATTACCAAGGACATATTGTCATGAACCGTGTGACCAGTGTATCAGGTTAGCTATTACCAAGGACATATTGTCATGAACCGTTTGACCAGTATATCAGGTTAGCTATTACCAAGGACATATTGTCATGAACCGTCTGACCAGTGTATCAGGTTAGCTATTACCAAGAACATAACGTCATGAACGTCATGAACCTTGGGGGGGGGGGGGAATTCAGCCTAGGGAAGAAAATTCAAGGAAAAAGAGAGAAAAAAGGAAGAAATAACGAAAGGGGGATGAAAAGAGAAAAAAGGGGAAGAAAAAGAGTAAGAAAAAGAGTAAATGGGGAGAAAAGGGAAGACAAAATATATTAAAAGAAGAAGAATAATATTACTGTATTAACTCTTAGTCTGGGGAAGAAAATTCGAAAGATATTTCTTTCCCTTTTTTCTGAATGGTGATATTAATACTTTCCCCAGTTTATTAAAGGAAGAAAATAACCAAGATTTCCCAAAAAGTATTAAAAAGTTCCCCCCCCCCCATTGCCTATGAGGAAGAGAAATCAGATATTTTAGAAAAGTTTCCTATATTTCCTTTAAACTGAGAGTGAGAACTGAGTCTCATTTCCCAATTGTGTTTTAAGTTCTAATGGAACAGAATTAAAAGAATCTTTAAGAACATTTATTGTAGCGTAGGCATTAACTGCCTGGACTTATGGGACAGCTTAATGTAAAAGAAGATCGAGTTAAAAAAAAAAATTTTATCATCATTATTTTTTTTCTGCTGACACAGGAAATTATGCAAAACCTTTCTGAGGAAAAGTATCATATTTCTTCCTTCATATCAAAATCATGTGTTGCCCCCATTTAAGAAGCTTTAAGAATTTCAAAAAAAATTCAAAGGGGACTTGGTTTTTGACCTTATTAGGGCACCAAAATACTACATTGTACAACCAAAACACAAATTCGGAAAGATGCAACATTCAACTCGGATCGTAAACAAATCTATTTAATTCCAAACAAATCATTCAGATATTACAAACAATAGTCATCGATTATTTTTCGACGCATTCGTAAATAGTTGATATTTCATAATATTTTGTATTTTTCATGACCTGAGAGTTACTTTTGAAAACATGTATTCCTGTTTCGAGGATTTTTGATAATAAAGACGACATTTTCATATTTTCCAGGAATGTTAGAAAATCCAGTGCCAGCGAAAATTATTTTTAAAAAAAAAACGAAATCAAAAATATTCTGAAATATTAACTATATACGAATGTGTCGAAAAATAATCGATGACTACTGTTTGTAATATCTGAATTATTTGTTTGGAATTAAATTGATTTGTTTACGATCCAAGTTGAATGTTGCATCTTTCCGAATTTGTATGGACGCTGCGTTCTTCGGTGTGAGTCGTTTTAACAATTTTCTCCTTATAGACGCAAACGATAGGAATAAGATTAGTAGCGATCAAAAGCGCTTTTTTATCGCATTAATCCTATACCCCCTTTTATTTTTTGCGAACACTCCCTTTAAATCTGTATAGAACATATATTCTAATACATGGGTTGAATAGGAGAGAACTGTAAGCAGCTTCTCAGTTTTAAAGAAGAGCAGTTTCAGTCAGCAGCAGAACAGTACTGGGATAGGATTAGGATTACTTGTAAACAGCCCTACAGGTAAAATGCTGCTCAATATATATATAGTTACGATTTGTAATTGTAGCCTTCAAACAGGAAATATATTTTTTTTTCTGTCTTAAGATTGATAATTAGTTTCCCCGGTATTCCTAAATATTCTTTTTTCTGTCTTAAGATTGATAATTAGTTTACCCGGTATTCCTAAATATTATTTTTTCTGTCTTAAGATTGATAATTAGTTTCCCCGGTATTCCTAAATATTATTTTTTCTGTCTTAAGATTGATAATTAGTTTCCCCGGTATTCCTAAATATTATTTTTTCTGTCTTAAGATTGATAATTTGTCTCCCGGTATTCCTAAATATTATTTTTTCTGTCTTAAGATTGATGATTAGTTTTCCCGGTATTCCTTGATATTTTTTTTTTCACAGAAGCGCTTAAGATGGGCAACAAGTGTTTCTACTTTGTTTCTTTTAAAATGAAAAAATCTACGTTCACGTTAATTAGCGTTAATTTTTGAGAATAAAAATGGCTTAATATCATTGTGTTTTTTTGCTTAAATAATAAAGGGAAAATTTAGACAAGGAATATTATCTTGAAATACTATTTTTTCAGGAATTAAAAGAGCTCGCTAGTTTTGTTTATTAATTAATACAAACTCATATTAATTATTATTGATTGTATGATACCAGATTATTCATATATTATGATATTGTTTAGATACCAGATTATTCGCATATCACGATATTGTTAAGATACCAGATCATGCATATATCACGATATTGTTCAGATATCAGATTATTCATATATTACGATATTGTTTAGATACCAGATTATTTATATATCACCATATTGTTCAGATACCAGATTATTTATATATTACGATATTGTTCAGATACTTATTGTTTATATAATACGATAGTGTTCATATACAAGAATATTCATATAATGATATTGTTCAAATACCAGATTATTCATATATTGTTGAGATACCAGATTATGCATTGTTTACAATATTGGTTTGATACGAGAACAGATCCTTTAGTATTGCGATATTGTTCAGATACCAGATCAGATCTTTCATTCATTACAAAATTGTTCAGATACCAGAACGATGTGTTCGGTCTATCTATGTTTGCTCTGATTGGAGCTGCGAAATCTACTCCAACAAAATCCAAGGAACGGATATTATCCATATTTTGAAATTTATCTATATCCAAGAACTACTTCACCAGAAATTGAAAAGTTTGATAAATGAAAAGAAAACATTTACTTTTAACTTAGATCAGACATCTACAAAAATACCTTTTTTTCGCATATTTTTGCTTTTTTGAGGTGAAATTGATGAGAATTTTTAGTTCTTTTAAGCTTTTAACCCCAAACAAAGAAATATTAAAAAGACCTGAAAACTTGCAACAATTTCAAATTTTCTGATCCCAAAATCTTTGCAACCTGGCGTCGCTCATCTTTGATATTTTAAACTGTGACTTTTATAAGATAAACTCGTCTATGATTGAAATATGTAAGGTTTACACCATCAGACTGCAAAGATAAAAGGATTAGAAAATTAATTGTTTTCTCAAATAAGTAAAAGTCTTGAATATATTGTCCCAAGTAACTTAAGTGATATAATATTTATTTATTTATATTAAAGATGAAACTATAGCGCACTTACAGTGATAAACAAAAAAACTCTTGAATAGGAAGACGACTTTTACACTCATGCCTTTAAATAGTCCAAAAAACATCACATCATTTGTGCAATGTAAACGGACTTGTTTCACTTATTAAGGGATTTAATAACTTGTTAGTAAAAGTCAAGTGCCAAGGATCAGGATCCGCAAGATTTTGGCTTTCTGGATCCGGTTCCAATTGAGGAAAAATATCAACCGAAAACTGCAATACAAAACTTTTACTGTCAATGCTCAAATATAAACAATATATTGAAAAAAGAGAGATTGTAAAAAAATTACTGATTTCTGAATGGTTTATCAAGTTTTAACATATACATAAGCCAAATAAATAAGACAAAAACTCTGCTTTGTTAAGAAATTTCAGTAAATCTTTTAAAATGACCTGGATCCTGATCCGGATTCATTTTTTTCCAGTGCGGATCCAGGATCCGGATCACTGTATTTAAATAAAAATAGAAATTTTATTTTAAATTTATTTAAATTTCACGGGCAACGCCGGGCACTTAACTTGTTACTTAAGATTCTTGGATACTGCTTTTGCTGTTTATAAAGATCATGAGAAAGAAATTCCTGATAACATTTCTCTTAAAATTGGATAAAATATTGAAATGGTTTAAAAAAACATATCGTCTAAAAGTTTAAATCAAAAATTTTCTGTAAATTTTAAAACTTGTTTTTAGGATTGGATTTATCTATTTTGTCTAGGTTAGCAGTTCAGAGAATAAAGTCGAGGGTGAGCAGTTGAATTTATTCAAGGAGAAAGTTTATAAGGTTTGTTCATTTTGATGTTTAAAGAAGAGAAACATTAAATTAACTTATAATGTTAGTTCCAGGGGTAATCCGAAACTTTTTCTTCAAATGTTTTGTTTTAAGATATCTCAAATAATTTACAGATATATAACTGATGTTTATATTCAATATTGAATTATATTCAGGGGAATTTTATCTTATTAAATATACAGGAATTAAAAAAAAAGACGCGCACATTGCACAAAATTCTATGTTTTTAAATTCCAAGGCAAATGATAACACAAAGCTAATTGTCATTGTACGATGGGCGGATTTTTGATAATGTCACTAAAGTGAGATTTTGGTACCGACAATTTAATAATGTCAATTTGGTTATGAAAATTCGTGGTTAGATGACAAATTGGTGATGACAAATTATTAATGAAAATTTGGTAATAAGTTGACATATTTGCTTTTCTTTAATGATGAATTGTTAGATTTATATTCGATAAAATATTTTTGATTGAAGGAAACATGTATTTCGTGTACTAAAGAAATACTCTCAAAAAATTCGCAACATTGTTTACATTAAGTTTGCTTTTTTGATGCTTTTGCAAGCATTATTTATCTTTTTGTAAGATCCATTCTGTTAATAAAATTCAGTTTTAGCTATATTTAGTTACCAAATTGTCACTTTTATATAGTTACTTGAGTGTCACGTTTAGGTAGTTACCAAATTGTCAATTTTATATAGTTACTTGAGTGCCACTTTTATGTAGTTACCAAATAGTCCCTTTTGTATAGTTACTTAAGTGTCACTTTTATGTAGTTACCAAATTGTCTCTTTTATATAGTAACTTGAGTGTCACTTTTATGTAGTTACCAAATTGTCTCTTTTATATATTAACTTGAGTGTCACTTTTATGTAGTTACCAAATTGTCTCTTTTATATAGTAACTTGAGTGTCACTTTTATGTAGTTACCAAATTGTCAAATTGTCTCTTCAATATAGTTACTTGAGTGTCACTTTTATGTCGTTACCAAATATCACTTTTAACAAATTACTTAATTGTCACTTCAATGAAGTTATAGTCTTATTTAACACATTTGTAGTTAAGAAATTGTGATTTATGATGTTATCAAAGTGTCTTTTCCAAATTTGCATTACCAAATTTTCTCTTTTATGTGCTTACCAAAGTTGACATTACAAAATTATCAATTTTCATGTAGTGTAGTTACCACCATTCTTCCTGTTACTTAAAAAAAATGCTAAAAAGATATGTTTTCAAAAAAGTAAATAAAATAGTTTTAGAAACGTACTTTCAGTCTTTTAAAAAAATGTTAAAAATATTAATTGCCGGGAATGCCAGTCATTCCTGAATATTTTATACTACCTTTGTTTTCATAGATGATGGATTCAGCAGCTGTGGTCTCCACAAACTCAACTTTAAACCGTAGCTTAGGTTTAGGTTCTGGTTTAACTCCTAGATCTAGGACCAGTACACCTGGCAGTGCTCTGGGTACTCCTAGATCTCCTAACCTTCTTGGATCGATATCTAAACCAACTCTGACCGCCAGATCGTTTAGTTCATCATCCTTTGACAGATTTGGACAGATTAGCATTTCCATGGACAAATCGTCTTCATCATTTACCAGGTAAACCAGTTCTTCTGAACATTGCAGATTTCTGGGGACAAAACTATTGTTTACTGTTTAGGATAGCATTGAGCTTGATATCTATTGTGTTAACTTTTAAATTGAAGTATTTAAGTTTACGTTGATAGTGATACACTCTATAGAAATCAATCGAGGGGAACAAACACCGTCTGATTCCTTAAGTCCTCGTTTTAAAATACACGAGTTTTACTCTTTTGTTCTGTAAGTGTTTAAGAGCCATGATACACAAAGAATTCATCAAGAGTTGTGAGACTTGTGAGTTAAAAGAGACTGCAAGCGTAATTTCAAGTGACCCACCCTGCAAGATAGCATGCCCGATTTTCAGCCCTACCCTCAAAACCTTGATCTTATCAAAAAAGGGGGAAATACAGCGGGTTTTCTGACTCAAAAGCAAAAAGTGGAATTTTCAAAAGTTCAGCAGAGTTTGACGGATACAAAAAAACAGATTTATAAATATTAAATAGATAGATTTCAGGAAAAAAAACCTATACGTATTTTGTCGTCTATTCTTAGAGAATCCAGCGGAAAAGAGAATAAAGAAGAACCCTTTGTTGATAAAGCTAAGCAGTTCCTGAAATCCTGTAGGTTTCAAGATAAAGGTATTTCAATGCACAAAACACATCACTGTCATTTTTAATTTTACAAACTTTATATCTTAGCAACCTGATTGTGTAAAACATTGATATTTTTAACTTTGACAATTAGATTTTTATATCTTAGTTTAAAATAACGAAGACCTTCATAAAAAGTTTTGCCCGGAATGCACAAACATTCCAAAAATATGATATATATATGCATGGTTAACATTATAATGTTTTTTTAATAATTATTCGTCTTGATGTACGGCAATTGTATAAAGTTCAACACACTAAAGATATATAGATGTTTTTGGTAAATAGGATTATTTCTGTTATTCTAGTGAAGTAATTCTTCACCCCTTAGTTCAAACTTTTAACTTCTCAGATCTTAAACTTTATTTGGAAGTAAAACTAACTAGTTAGGAGCATGGAAAAAGAATAAAGTTACTACAGTGTAAATGGTCCAGAGAACAAGGATAAGGGGAAGGGAAATGATATTGCACCGAAATGCAAAAGTTCGTGTTTTTGGTAGATTAGATCTGATTAATGACTTGACTGGTTAGAATGACATGTTTTTACGTCAAAAAAGGTCGTCAGGTCGTAAAAATGTTGGTCAAAAGAGACTTCGTAATGTTCCGTAAATGTTGGTTGAACACCTACAGTCTACAGTCTACATTACAGTACAGTACAGTACAGTACAGTACAGTACAGTACAGTACAGTACAGTACAGTACAGTACAGTACAGGGAAGTTGTAAACATCATTATTTATCATCTCTTGTGCTCTTCTTATTTCATAAATCTAGAATTGACTTCTTCTTTCTTTTAGATTGTTTTTGTTCCATTAGGCATTATTTCGTAAACACACATCCCATTCAAAATCTTTAACTTCAAAACCTTGTTGTCCTAGGTTTTCTAAAATGTTGTCGTCTAACATTTTTTTAAATTGACGGAGATATCGTGACATTCTTCCATTTGTTCAAATGGTAGATGTCTCTGTTAATTTTAAAAAAGAAGAAAGAAGGAAAAAGGAAGGCGACATTTTGGAAAAACTCATAATTCTTTTTTTATATACTCAGTGTCATTTATCAATTATATGAAATCAAATAAGTTTTTTAAGTCGTCTCTTATCTCCATTTTTCTTATTGTGTTAAACACAATCAATGATAAAATAAATAAACCATATAAATGCAGGCTAATGTTGCAGGGCTGGAGGAAGTTGAACAAATAACATTTAATCAGATCAAACAAATATGGATTCAGAAAATGAAATCTGAGTTAACCAAGGTTAGATTTTTATTTTAAAGCTATTTTTTTAATCAATCAGTATCGGAAAAGTTTTTGCATTCTTTCCCTTTATATCTGTTTGATCCTGCAGTGTGTACTCTGATTAATCTAACTAATTGTTTAGGAAGAACGAACTGTTCTGAAAACTGTATCCAGGAAATACTTAGAGTAAATATTTATCTATTATAAAATTGCCGATTTTTTTAACAATTTCCTATTTGGNGTGGCAAAATATTGATTTCTCAAAAATCTTAATTGTTTTATATTTTTATAAAGGGCCCCCCCTCCCCCCTTTTTTCCCGTTTTTCGGTATATGCCCATACAATATAGTCATAGCTTTAATAAATGTTATTCCATTCCATATTTGATTTAAGAGAGGTCTGGTTAACCATTTTTAATGCAAATATTAAGCATTTTTACGCTTAGGATACAGACAAGCCAATTTGATAATATAATAAATGAAAGAAATAAAGAATTATTTTTTTAAGGAATTTGGTGACAAAGCTTGAAACTCGGAAAACTCAACAGTTCTCTCTGAAACGGAAATCTATCGCAGATTTGGAAAGAAAATCAATATTTATTGAAATATGGTTCAAACTTCTCATCAGTGTATTTTATCAACATATATTTATATTCTATAGAATGAAGAATGTGTACGGAAAGTTTTTTATCCGGCCAAACTAAGGAATGATTTAATTTTAATGAGCAAAAACTTTTTTCAAAGAAAAGTTTTCTTAAGTTGTTCTTTTCGGTCTGAAAACTTAACTTTCAAACCATCATCTTGGAAATTTGATTTTACGAAACACTACTTTTTTAGTTAAAATCAATAACAAGGGAGGTAGGGTATGTGTACACATTTTTCTTTGGCGTATCAAGTCTGCTAGAAGGTCAGTAAAATGTACGCAAAACTTAACTTTCCCCACCTGGGTTTCTAATTAATTTAGATTTTAATTATGCAGTAAATCATTTATGACCAAACCAATTGATTTGATTTTGACAGACAATGTCTGGACCTCAGAAAAAGAGAAAAGCTTCAAGTTCGGACAGGTATCATAGTAACCGTTTAGCAGGTCTTTTTAGTGGAACAGGAGGACATCATGATCTTAAAAGGACTGTAAGCGTAATTTTAGGTGACCCTCCATGTAAAGATGGCAATGCCCGATTTACAAAGTTACCCTTGCAACCTTTATCTGATCACGTATGTGGAAGATATTGTTATTCTTCTAGGTTATTAAGTGTTTATTTCTGATAATTATTATTTGTTTTCCTGCAGTCTTAATGCGTAACTCACTTTTGAAACAATTAAAAATAATCAGTTTTCAAAATAATAAACATTGCTAACTAATTCATACTTGATCAGACAAAGGTTTCAAGGGTAAGGTTGTGAATCGGGCATTGTCATCTTTGCATAGAGGGTCACTTAAATTTACGCTTACAGTCCGTTTAAGCACCAGTCTTAAAGGGTCACTTGATAATACCTTGACATCCTTTTCTTTTCTTTTTATTTAATAGTAGTTTAGTGTATTTAGGTCAACGACTATTTAACACTGTAATAGGAATAGTATTTGATTGTGTAGAGAAAATTGTACTAAAAATGATGAGGGGATGAAAATCTATTTATATATTTTATCATTTTTTTGCAAAGTTTTGGTTAAGAGAATATCTAAATATATCCTTCAGTGTAGTTGAGTTCAGATTACCTATCATCTTATTCAAACTTTTATCCTTGCTATTTATACCATTTCATTTTTAGCGAACACTACAATTCGTTGTTTTAATTGATTTATGCATTTAGGGAAGATATTGATGAAACAGAAAAGAAGACTAATGATACTAAACGAAACAATAGGTTAGTAGTGGCAGATTGCTAAGATATTTTTAAATCTCCAAAACTCGGAATTGCATGTTAATTGTCAACGCGTGTGTAATCTAAATTACGCTGCGAATGTGAAATAAGGTTAAAAAACGAATGAATAAGAGTCGTTGACTATTGTTTTTTGTTGTTAAGTGAAGTGACGCAAGGGCAGAGATTTTACGGGCCTGTGAAGACGATTTATATTAAATAATCTTTTCGGAAACATCAAATGGAAATAAAGCTGCCACATTGAAGGAATTTCATTGTCTGTTAAGATTACATTCCCGATCGACAATAGCCTTTTATAAGATTGACCTTATTTACGTTTTGTCTATCTTTTAAACATATAAATACCCTTTATTCACTCCTTCCTTTTCTCGTTTGCATAATTCCTTAAGTCACTTTTATAGAGGAATAAAATTACATGCCAACCTATGAATAATAGTCACTTAAAATTACTTATACAGTCCCTTTAAATCTAGTTTTACCTGGTCACACAGTGTTTGAGTTGTGAAAGAAGCAGCGAAATTTGCCACGGTATTACCTGAACAGTAATTAGGATCCGGATCCGTTGCATATTTTGGCTTCCTGGATCCAAGGGTCAAAATATCAACCAAAAAGTTAAAGAAAAACCTTTTGCTCTCAAAGTCCAAATCTGAACTGTAAAAAGAAGAGGGAGTACTGAAATGTTCCATATTATCTCTGAATGGTTCCTGGGTTTCAGCATAAAAATAAGCGGAGAAAAACTAAAAAAAAACTCTTCTTTTGTATAAAAATAAGTAAATCTTTAAAAAAATTATTCATGATCTGGATCCGAATTTTGGATCCTTTTATTTCATATTCAAGGTTGAAATGAAAATGAAATTGACCCTAAGCACTGTACCCGACTAATGACAATTTTTAATATTTATCAAAATTGTATTTCGGGATTTTCCTCCTTTTATAAGGTGTTGTCTCTTAAACCATAAAATATCAACCGAATTCACCAGGGTACTTAGTTAGATACTTATCTGGAGTATATTTAGATTACCTTAATTACGTAGAACAGGGAAAATTAGAAATTACACCTTATTAAAACGGATTCGATGGAAAAGAAGTGATAGGATTAGAAGATATGGGAAAAAGGGGATGGGATATGATGGGAGAAATGAGGATGGGATGGGATATGATGGGAGAAATGAGGATGGGATGGGATAGGATGGAATACGATGGAAAAAGGAAGGGAGGATTGATTGGGTCGGCGGATAAGCAGGCTATAACGGGTCGGAATGGGATATAATGGGATGGGAAGAAATGGGATTGGTGAGAATATAATAGGATAGGTTATTATATACAATTGCTGGGTTAAGCATAGAGCAGTATTGGATTGGACTTGATGAGTGCCATGGAGAAAGGATAATACAAGTTTAAGTTGAATAAACCCATGTAAATCCTGGAAATTAAATATAAAGAAACTTGATTAGGTATAATCTCTTGTTTCAGGAATGCCCTGGCCACGCTGGATGTTGAATTGGGTAGTTCAGGTACATTCGATTGGATTGGATTAACTTGGATTGGATTGAATGAATTTTCATGAGATTTTTTTTGTATGGTATAGTAATTAAATTGTATTTGGTTAATATTAATTGGGTTGATGGAAATGGCATGAGGATGAGAATTGGGATTTGATGATGAGTGGGATTGGGGATGAGATTGAGGATGGGGTTGGGGATGAATGGGGATGAAATTGGATGAAGTTGGATGAAGTTGGATGAAGTTGGATGAAGTTGGATGAAGTTGGATGAAGTTGGAACAAATTGGAACAAATTGGAACAAATTGGAGGAAATTGGAGGAAATTGGAGGAAATTAGTTGAAACTGGAGGAAACACGAGGAAACTCGAGGAAAATCGAGGAAAATCGAGGAAAATCGAGGAAACTCGAGGAAACTCGAGGAAACTCGAGGAAACTCGAGGAAACTCGAGGAAACTCGAGGAAACTCGAGGAAACTCGAGGAAACCGGAGGAAACCGGAGGAAACTCGAGGAAACTCGAGGAAACTCGAGGAAACTCGAGGAAACTCGAGGAAACTCGAGGAAACCCGAGGAAACCGGAGAAAACTGGAGAAAACTGGAGAAAACTGGAGAAAACTGGAGAAAACTGGAGAAAACTCTAGGAAACCGGAGGAAACCGGAGGAAACTCGAGGAAACTGGAGGAAACTGGAGGAAACTGGAGGAAACTGGAGGAAACTGGAGTAAACTGGAGTAAACTGGAGTAAACTGGAGTAAACTGGAGTAAACTGGAGTAAACTGGAGTAAACTGGAGTAAACTGGAGAAAACTGGAGAAAACTGGAGAAAACTGGAGGAAATTCTAGGAGGTGGGGGAAAGTGGGGGAAATTGGTTAAAATTGATCGATCATATTAATTTCTCTAGACGATGATACTGCAAAAGAGAAGAGTAAAGATCTCCTAAAATCCAGGAAAAAACGAACAAGAACAGTTACCCCCAAACCAGAAAAGGTAAATACTGATCTAGAACCCTATACCAATTTAGAACCCCGAGATTAAGCAGTTACCTATATCTTGTGCAGCTCTTCAATTTAAATCAATGCCTCTAGGATATGATATTACGTGGTGGTTGTACCCTGCAGTCATGCAGGGATTAGTATTGGTTGATAATACATTACTGATAACAACACTTTGAAATAGGAAGACGACTTTATAGCAATACTTAAGAGTATCTTTTGTTGTTACAAAGCAAATAGTTTTACTGGTAACGTATTAAATCACCTATTAAGACTAAGTTAATTGTTATTTTTCTTGCTCATTGGACTATTTAAAGTCATAACTTGAGTCCAAAACTCGTAATCCTAATTACGAGTTTTTCGGTTATCACTGTACTATGGATATTGAGATCTAGAGGTGTAGATTAGCATTGACCTCTGTAAAGGTAATTACTGTTCAAGAAGTTTCTGGAAACAAGAAACTCTGATTTGATACGAAAACTAATCTCCGTCTATGGTTCCCAGAACCGTATTATTTGTCTCGCCCTTTTATGGGTTATTTGAGCTTATTTTTCTAACAACACCCTCGTTAACAACTTCTTGATTCCTCAGTCTCCAAGTATACACATAGGCGGTTTTATATCTTCTATATATAAATTTGGCTTGTCTGTCTGTTTGTTTGTTTGTTTGTCTGTCTGTCTGTCTGTCTGTCTGTATCCAATAAACGTCAAAACGGCTGAACCGATCGGGCCCAAATTTTTTTGTGGGACATCTAGGGACCCCAGGGAAGGTTTATGAATCATCAAAATTTAAAAAATTTGTCTCCATCAAAATTCGATCTTCATTAAATTTTTGAAAATTTTGAAAATCCACGAAATTTTTTGTGAAAATCCGCGAATTATTTTTGTTTTGTTTTACGATGTACACAAAGAGAACATATGTTCACAATTAATTTAGAAGATGAGCGCGAAGTGCCCTCTAAGGCTAGTTGGTTTATAATTACAATGGATGGCTATTCCAAAATATGCTCAAGCAATATTGTAAGGGAAACCCCTTTTAGTTTTAGTTAAAAGGTTTACATATTGACCAAAAATATAGAAGTATAACTTCAAAATAATTAATATTTTCAATACATTTTAATAAAACACTGAAAGTCATTTCATTTCCGGGAAAACCGATTTCTCGTTGATCTGAAATTCAAAGGCCTGGCCAATGAGGGGTGTAATTTATCTATCACTTAAATTTTCACAAGTCTGGTGATCTCAATTCATGAATCCTAAAGTTTCCACTAGTATCACAAAAAGTATTACATCTAGAATATTTTGTGCTTAAAACAAATTTAAATAACAAGGGCATAATCAGTCGTTTTTGATACTTTCTCTTAACTTGGTTTTTAATTCGTGAACCTTTCTTCCTAAATAAGGGAAGAACCCCCTCAAAGGCTTGAATTAATTGGATTGAACTGAATTGAAATGAAATCTCTACTAATCCAATTATAAAGTCGTTAAAAAATTGTATTAATCCAATTTCAGACAGTCTGGCATTAATCATTTATCATGTTAAAATTTTTACTGATTACAGGTAGTCTTAGAAGAAGTGTTTTTGAACATTTCTTTATTTCATTAGGAATGATATGCTTAATTTGAATCTTTGTTGCAAATTCAAGGAATTTTTCTAATGTTAGGTTTTTATGTACTGTTTTTATTTTCACTTCTTTTCTTGCAACAATTTTTTGACAGTTTTAAATAATTATTATTATTATAGTTGTCGTTGTCGTTGTCGTTGTCGTTGTCGTTGTCATTGTTATTGTTATTGTTATTGTTATTGTTGTTATTGTTAGTTGTCTGGGTGGTTGGAAAAACCTTCCTCGGCTAAGAAGAATGGTGAGACTGCCCTAACAACTAAAGGAATGGAAAAGACTAAAGAAGAAAATAATAAACAGGAAAATATTATTCTGAATTACAGTCGATATCTTTGAAATCAGTTTTTGCGAGAAACAAAACAGAGCCTTTCGTATCTCTAAGCATTGCTAAAATTCTAAAGTCGCATTTAGAAATTTGAAAACAGTTAGTTGAGATAAATATTCTCATTGTGTTTTCTTGGAATCCTAAAATTGCAAGTTTATTTAGCAAGAATATATTTTTACTCTTCTGCTTACTTTTTTTACTTTTCTCCCAAACATTTAAACTTTCAATAAAACATTTAAAACTGTATTCTGGTAGGTGTGTTTTATTAAACCTAAAAAAAAAAAAAAAAAAACGATCGTTTTAACACATTCTTGTGGTTTGTAAGAAAGACAAATGTTTAGAATAAAAGATTTTAAAATTAGTTGCTTCTCTTACTCTATTCCAAATTTTGAATATGACCGAGGAAGGGGTGCAGAGGCGCCATGATCCCCGCAAAAATGATCTCCGAACCTCAGGAATTGCAGAATTACCTCCAGGCCCCGCAAAACTGGTCTCCCAGCCTCAGTGACGTCACCAAGCCTCCCGCCATTCTGTCTCCACGCCCCGCATTTTGGCTCCAATAATAAAATATTTGGCTTTTATTTCCACCAAGAACCTTTTCTTTTAAAATTCTCATCATGATGAAATAGTTCAGAATGATACATTAACATTTTGTATTAAAAAGTGAATTTTAATTGAGATTAAAGGCTTGTATTTTGTTTTTCTAAATTTCACAAATTCCTTAAATTGTAAAGAACTATTGCAGTTTTGTATAAAGATAAAAAAAAATGTTCTATTATTTTAGAGGGGTCTCATATACCAATCAAACAATATCAGCGGCAATTTACAAAACTATGTAGTTTTTGTGAAATCCTTGTATTTGTGATTTTATCGTATGCTTTAGAAAATATTGAACTATTTTTTTAAAAATTGAAACAAAGAATTAAAATAATCCAAATATCTATTACATGCAATACTAACAGGTTAGGGCAGCTTCTTGTCATATCTTGTTGTTTTAATAAGTTAAATTTAATTCTAAATAGTTTTTCTTTTAGCGAGAGAATTCATTTATTTGACTTAATATACATAGGNCAACGGGGTGCGCAAAAACTTGTATATTATAGAACAGATCTCATTAATTTGCATTTTTATGATAAAATGTAATGCTGAGGAATCGAGAGTTAAAAAATCTTCAAATCATGATGCCTTCAAAATAATAGATAAGTCGTCTATAAAGGTCGTCTTTTACTCATTCCATCTTAATGTAAACTTTAACAGAAAAACAACTCCAGAACAATTGAATGAATTAACATGTCAAATTTGTTGATTAGACGATTCTTTAAACTATGACGGAGTCTACTATGAAGAGATATATTTTGATATTTGTTTGGTTAAGCCAATAAATTTAAACAAAAAATAAAAACAACAAGCGGAGACCAAAATGCGGGGCGTGGAGACAGAATGGCGGTAGGCTTGGTGACGTCACTGAGGCTGGGAGACCAGTTTTGCGGGGCCTGGAGGTAATTCTGCAAATCCTGAGGTTCAGAAGCCATTTTTGCGGGGATCATGGCGCCTCTGCACCCCCTCCCTCTATGACCTGATACATTGACTGTAAGTTGAATGATAATAATGATGATTATAACACACCAAAAAAATGAACCGAAAAGATTAACAAGACTACTTCTAAATTCTAAAGATGGAATTATATTTGTTCAGCGGTACAAGAAAAAACTACTGCTGAGTGTTCCGAAGGAGAGTTTAGTTGAGAACGGTATTCTCGTCCAGGAATATAATTATAAGAAGAACAAGGTATGTTTCAAGGATTCTTATTTTTTTTTAAATCTGCTTTAAGGATTTATTGTCGCAATTTCTAGGAGTTGCATGTCCAATTCACAACGGTTCTCTTAAATGATCTTTTTATCACGAATGAATTAGATATCCATATTTTACTTTTTTAAAATTTGTTATTTTACAATTAGGTTTCTATATGAAGTGACTTGAAACCATATTACTTTGCACATTTTTGATCAGAAAAAAGTTTTAGAAGGTGCCATTGTGAATCGGATACGGGCATGGAAGGTCATTTGAAAACTACATCAACAGTCCCTTTAAAGGGGCTGCCGACGTGACCCCATTTGAAAACTACATCAACAGTCTCTTTAAAGGGGCTGCCGACGTGACCCCATTTGAAAACTACATCAACAGTGATAAACTGACCAATATACCTGAGTACTAGCATAATAATGTCAGTGACACATATTCTCTGGAAATGAATATGTACAATAATAGCTGATATATATAAAACCCCCAAGCCTAGGAGTATTTATATCTGAAACATGAAAGATGTAAACTACACAACAATATATAAATGTAACCAAAACAATAACATATGTATAGCCTGTTCCTGGAGACTCTTCCAGTATCATGATATAGTCCTGTAATAGAAAAAATAATCAGACTAACAAACAGTCCCTTTGAAGTTGGATTAATTTTTAATTTTGAATAGTAGGATTATTTTAAATAAAAATAGAAAAATTGATTTTTTCATAGTTTTTTTTATTATTGTGTCTACCCGAGAATCTGGTTCAAAAAGATCTTAATTAACTTTACTTTGCGTGGAGAAACTGTTTTGTAATAGATTTATAATCAAATATATTGTATCTTTTAACCAGCACTTAGATCCATTTATCTGCTTCCGGATCCAGATTGAAAATATTAATCCGGATTCCAGATGTTGCCTCGGAAACTACATTTTCAGAGATAATTCCTCTTTTATCTTAAATTTTTGTCCCATTTAAAAAAATGATCAAATACCATTTATTTATTTTTCGTCAAGGTTTTTTTCACATTTTGTCGATAGACTGTGTTGGGGCTAGGTCCATAATGTCGGTCTATTTCCTTTGATAAAATACCCTATTATAAAACATTTCACGGGGGCCCATTTGCTTGATAAAAAAGTCAATACATATTGTTACATAATACATGACTACAAAAATCTCGTATTAAAGAATTATTGAAGATGAGGTTGGAGATAGTTGCATCTTCCTTTTCTTTTTATTGTTCCTGTTCAGAGCTCAAATTCAATTTAGAAACTTCTTCTATTATCTGTCATAACTCATAATTACGGTAGATCCTGCCAAGATATTGTCAGAAGTCGGTTGCAACATAGGAATAGAACTTTTTATATTTGCCCGAGCACAACATATATTTATATATATCTATATATACTTTGATTGTCTGTTTATTTGTAGCCGCGATAACCCTTGAAAAAGTTTACCTTAAAGAATTTCGATTTTGCTAAATCCACGAAAAAAATCGAAAAAAACAGCAACAATGAAAAGTTAAAGACAGTCTACTAATAGATACAGAACTAGCTTGGAAACCCAGCTTTATCTGGAAACTAAACTTTTCTTTAAATGTTAACTCACTGAACTTAAAATTTTTAAACCAAGCCAAGAACATTTGAGGCAAATTGGGCAAGGTGTTCCTGAGTTATGATCGGACATATAAACAAACAGAGATGTTTACTTTATGGGACTAGCTTGGGAAACCAGCCCTACCCACTACCCAGGTTACCAAAAGTTACGCCCACCGTTTTCCCGCACTTGAAAGATTTGACCGAGAAACTAAATTTTTGCTATAAAACTCAACCTAGAATCACAAAATCAAGCTAATTGGCAAATAGGTCCAAGAGTTCCTGAGTTATGATCGGACAAACAAACAAACAAACAAACAGAGATAACAACTTTATATATATATATAGGTATAGAAGTGGTAATCTCTGTAAAATTGTTTGTATATCCGATCACAACACATGAACTCATTGACCGATTTGCCTCAAATTATAATCTGGATACTTGGTAGTTCATGGGAATGTTCTAAGCTTGTTTGCATGATGTTAAGCTAAGTAGTTTGCCCTTAGTTTCCAGTCAAAGCTGTGTTCCCACGCTATAGTCTTTATTTTAAAGTTGGTACTATTCAGGAATTCCCTTTAAAAGGTGAAATGCAACTAGTTGTTAAAATATGTCCATTTTATTAAGTTTATAATAGAACTCCCTGTATAGGGTGGAATGCAACTAGTTGTTAAAATATGTCCATTTTATTAAGTTTATAATAGAACTCCCTGTGTAGGGTGGAATGCAACTAGTTGTTAAAATATGTCCATTTTATCAAGTTTATAATAGAACTCCCTGTAAAGGGTGGAATGCAACTAGTTGTTAAAATATGTCCATTTTATTAAGTTTATAATAGAACTCCCTGTATAGGGTGGAATGCAACTAGTTGTTAAAATATGTCCATTTTATTAAGTTTATAATAGAACTCCCTGTATAGGGTGGAATGCAACTAGTTGTTAAAATATGTCCATTTTATTAAGTTTATAATAGAACTCCCTGTATAGGGTGGAATGCAACTACAGAGCGTCCCATATCATATTAGATTATCTACAATTTTTAACGCCAAAATATGCACATAATACGCGAAAAATCTAGCATTTTCTGCCAAAAAAATTTTCTATTAGCCTTATTAAATTTTTTAAAATGATTCATTCTTCTTAAATTTTCTGATTTTCCCCCCAAATCGTAATTTAGACCCATTGACGCGGTCTAATTTGATGTGGGACACCCTGTAGTTGTTAAAATATGTCCATTTTATCAAGTTTATAATAGAACTCCCTGTACAGAATGGAATGCAACCAATTTTAAATTTTTTTTAAGGTATAAACAGGAGGTCTCTTTAAAGTTTTCAAGATTTGTTTTCTATTAAAAACTAGTTTTAAACAAGTTTTATAATACATAAAGTTTATTTAGGAACTCCCTTTGAAGGGTGGAATGCAACTAGTTGTTGAGAAGATGGTTCCGGTTGTATTTTACAAAGTTGGAACAGACATTCATTTAGGTAAATATTGATAGTGGTAAATACATTCAGATATTTGTTTCAGGTTTTGGAGACAGTTTTATAGTTTTGTTATGTAAAAAAATTTAAGCTTAGAAGGGTATTTTTTCTAAGATTTACACACACACACCATGGTCTAGGGGAAAAATAAAAATTTGACTTGACATCGTAAACAACAATTTTTTTCCCCAATTAGGGAAAATTTATTTTGGTTTAGCAAGTTGAATAAAAATAGTGGCACATTGAGCAAATAAAATGTTTTTATTTTGCTGTTTTTTTACGAATCTTCACATTATTCTTTACGCTTGAAATTCAACTGTTATTCTCTAATAAATAATAACTAAATTAAAAAATTATACTTTATTTTTAAATGGTAAAAATATATTGCAAAGACTCACTTAATCTGACATCCATTTAATAAGTTTTTTTTTAATTTGAATCGATTGGAATATTATGTGAAAAAAAAAATATTTGAAGAAAAAAGTTTTTTTTTAATTAAATAACCCCAGTGCTGCTGAAGTTAAGTTTGTTTAAATTCCTCCAATTAACTGCAGTACATATTTTATAAACAAAAAGATTAATACAAAAGTGTATATTCTGTAAAGAATTACTTCCGCCTCCTTTTCAACAATATTTTATTTTATCACTGATTTGGGTGACATGATTTATTGAGCAGATAACATTAAAAATGGGAAGAGGAGAACCATGTTCGATTTTTCCCCCCAAGCTTTGTTATATGATTACCCCCTTATTAATATTGCATTCCAACTTTTATCTTAATATTTTTAATTATATATTATATATATCTTTTTTTAGTTTACAAGAATGAGTTCTATCCACCAGATGTTAAAGATGAACATAAAGAAAAACTATTCAGGAAACCATTACTGTTTTATACTAAATACCTTAAAAAGATAATGATCTGATTTTCTAAGATAATCAATTATAAAAGAATTGCATGTTGTGTATGCAGTACACTACAGTACACTGCACTCTATACTAATAGTTGTCCGTCAAAGATGATCAGAGGGTACTGCTTTTAATTGAACATGACGCTCTTAAATAAGGAGGAAAGTTAAAATTACGTCTACAGACCCTTTAAAGTACGAATTAGAATAATCCTCGGCAGGGGATTAAGTTGGATGTGTATATAAGAAAAGTATACATACAGTGTCCGAATTTTATGAATTCAAGCCGCGTCTCAAATCCCCCAAAATCCGGTTTCAATTGAGCGCCGCTTAAATCTAAGAAATGTAATAAAAATTGAAGTGGAACTACCAAAATTTGAGCCGTGGCTTAAATTTATACTGCGGCTCAAATTCTTTAAATTCGGCCTCAGTATTGTTTAATCGATTAGAGATTATACTTCACAGCAGGTTCATCGAGATCAATTATCTCTTCAGGCTTATCTTCTACTTAACACAGAACAGGTAAGATCTTGGAGTTAATATTTTTATTGGGTTATTAACATTAACAGTTTTATTTGGTTCACAAATTTACTAAACAGCACTTCATATTTTTGTAAAGTTATTTTTATTTGTAAATTTACTAATATTGAATTTTTAATTTCCCGAATAGGGAAATTTTCCATATTTGAAGAGAAATTTTCTTTTTTCAATATCAAAATTCCGTTAACTAGTTTATTCATAATGAATCATAAAGATTTGATCGAAGTACTTCTGGGATACGTATTTTTTCTTACTTAAATATGATTAAGGCTGCTGTGTCTGAGTTTGACTTGTTAAAGGATGATATTGAAGAAATGATTGATGTAGATAATCTAACTGAACACCCAGCAAGTTCAAAACAAAATTCCAGTAAGATTGAGTTCAACCCAGATTTTGGAGAATGTCCCTTATGCAGTCAGTTATTCCCGTTTACTGAACTACAGGTTGGTGATATTTAGAGTTATGATTTTATGAATGCGAGAAAGGTAGTTGAACTAGGTACGCCTGGTTTAACTTCTTCTCCTGGGGCCAGTCGCGTCGAGCTCATTTTGAAGCTCATCGATTGTATAAAGCCTGATTCTTATCAGCAGATTATGTAATTCTAAATGGGAACCCATCAAATTGGAGAAAGGAAGACGACTTTTAGGCTCAATGTTTGATTTTGATTAATCCAAGGAGCATGATTGTGCAGTGCACACAGACCATTTCACGCTACTGATAAACCCCTTTGCTTTATAACAAAATAAGTTCACAGATTGCTTAAATGTCGTTTTCCTCTTCCAGAATTTTATGGTTCTTATTGTAAAAGCTGTGACAGTTAGAAGCATCATAATTCATTATTATCTTGATTCAGTTTAATCGTGACTTCTTGATTTTGAGAGCCCAGTTAGGGAAATCTGATTTAAGTCTGATTTATTTTTAATTCAAAAATAAAAGCGTCGATAGTCAACTATATTTCCAAAAATCCCAAACAATTATATTGATTAAAAATTATATCTGAACTGAACTCCTAGGATCATGCATCCGAGTGTGATGGTATATTATCAGCCCCTCCTTCTCCCTCCACACCTTCCTCTGCAACACCCCTAGGGACCTGCCCCCTGTGCGGGGATAGTATGGAACCCCACCTTCTTCCCACCCACGCCTCTTCATGTGGCAGGAACAAATTATACTAAATTATACTAATTATCCTGTCGTTATAATTATAAGTGACCCGCCAATTAAAGAGGGGCATCGTAACCTTTGTAACCTGTATCTGATAAGATATTTGGGAATCATCTTAGTTTTCTATCTTGAAAAGTGTTTTATTCTGACATTAACTCCATTTTTCTTTGAGCAGCAGAAATCCGCTGACAAAGGTTTTTATGGTACCGTTGTGAACCGTACATGCCACATAATATATGGAGAGTCACTTGAAATTACATGTACAGTCTCTTAAACTACCATATTATCGAATATAGTGGAGTAAGTGTAGTTAGGAATCAATAAGTTCTAATTAACCTGATTCATTTGTTCAGATTAATTAGAAATTCGAGATTTTCCTTCACGTTGTCAAGGAAGTTCCATGTACACATTACTTAGTTAAAATATAGTTCTACTAAATAAATTTGGTTGATTTTGTACAAATTTTTAAGTATGTCCTTTCTGGTTTTATTTGGATTAAGACAAATTTGATACTAAATGAAGTACTGATGTTATGTCAACCTACACTCATTGGATTTTAAACCACACTTCAATTTTGAATTTTTCTGCACAATTGGTGGAAAAATGTTTCTATGAATATTAAAAAAATTAATTTGATTTAACCATAGTGAGCCTACTCCAAGAGCTTTCAGTAAAGCAGGTAAATCATTTACTTAATAGTTTTCTAAAAATTAAATGATATTGAAAAAAATCTTTTAAAAGGTAATGTTCTGGAAAGTTATTTCTATACCCTTGTTTTTATAATTATATAACTAAACGGTTATATATTTAAAGGGAGTGTTCGCTGAAAGGCTGAAATAGAATTGAATTCGATATCGATTACTACTAGTTGTACTTTTATCTGTTGCATATAAAAGGAAAAAATTGATAAAACGTCTTATAGGCCCATAGCGTCCATATAAATTCATAGAGTAGCATTATTCAGATCTCAATTAGATCTAAAATTAACCATGTTTACATTTAGTAACAGAAGCCCATTGTATATACTTAATGTACTAATTGTTCTGTACAATTAACTGTACAACACTTGAGTATGCAACTGTGCAGTTTACGATGAAGAACAGTTTATTACGTTTTAGGAACACTTCGTCCAGCTTTTAGAGAATGTCCAGTGTGTGATAGATTGCTACCAACTGCTGAGTTAGCTGAGCATGCTTCAGGATGCCAGGTAGAAAAACAGTAGCAAAAGAGCATGCCATGCTTGAAATAAACAGATGCAATATAGTAGATTTAGAAATTGAGCAGCATGCAATGTAGTATTTAAAAGCATGCTTTAGGATGCCATGTATTTTACTGCTGCTTAGCAATGTATGCTTGAGAAATCGAGGATGCTAGCCACACTTAATAGCTAAGCATGATATAGAATGCTAGGTATAAGTGGTAGATGAGAAATATGCAAAGCAATAGAATTATAATTTATTTGGCATGCTATTTAGCAAAAGACTTCAGCTGTAGCATGCTTCAGGATGCTAGGAAGTATAAGGTAGCTAAGCAAAGTATGCTTTTAAATACTAGAACAAATATCTGATCGACATTCTGGTAAGTAAAAAAAGTAGCGGAGCAGTGTGCCAGATCTTAAATACTTATTTTCGATTAATTTTTTTTACAAATTATTTTACAGTTTTAAACAATTTTAAAAATTAACAAACATATTCGAATACGATAAAAAAAAGATCTGATTTGAATTTATCAAAGTTTGACTTAAGTATGCAATATTGGATATGGTAAATACTGAAATATTCTTGTATACAGTATAATGGTATATTCTCCTAGCTGCTATAAAATAGTGAACCTTGAAAATATGTAAATTGGAATATTAATCTTGTCTTTGGAATTTCTAAATTTGAATATTTTCATCCATATTTTGCAAATATGATTTTATCATAAAGATTATTCCATTTTATAGCTATTTTGGCAAATTTTAACTTTAACTGATTTTTTTTGATTTCATAAAATTTGTAAGATATTTACAAATCAAGCTTTATTGTTAATCAAACATTAAGTATCTATATAAATATTAATGGTTAAAATATAGGGGACTTTTGGGATAAATATACTTGACACAATTTTCAAACTCATAAACATTTTTGTGTGCATCTGAAACCACTTATGTAAGCGAGAAAAATAATTGTCAAAATTCTCGTCTTGACACATTGAGTTTAGAAAAGTTGAAATCGTAAAATCCTTTCAAAATGAATAAAATTTTAAGCAAACCCTGGTTCTTTGTCCGAGTATTAAATCAAACAGTTTTTTAAATATCTAGAAACGGACAAATGGATGGTATTAAGTGCAGTGGTTTGAGACGCATCATGATAACCATATTAACATGTTTAAAAAAATAATAAATTGACTCACTAATGATCTATGATTTTTTTAAATTTAGTTATTAGTTTCCATGTGGAGCTGAGTTTCCAATCTGGTATATCATATATTTGAAAAATTAATCAACTGTGTGCAATTCACAAATGAATTTGAAAGTTACAACTTGACTTGTTCAAGAAACTTGACTATATTATTTCCAGAAGTATTTTACAGCTCTTTCAAACTTTTGAATTTTCTGACATTGGCCTAAACATAAAACTAGAAATCAAACAAGATCTGAACTGAAAACTTAAGAATGAGATATCCTTAATCCAAATTATTTAATCTGAGTATCCAACGGACACACTTTTGATTTTCTTCTTAAACCGTTCTTTTTTGGATATAGTAGAGAAAAATCAAAACCCGTTTTTTTTAATTTAGAGAGTCCCTCCTGTTTCTGTATATAATCTTAAATGGAGCGCAAAATTTCAAATTTATCGGCTTCGTATACGCGACTCTGTTGGTTGAATTTTATACACCTTTCAGGATACGAAGTACAGGATTCTAAAGTTTTCAGCTCTGAGGTCGGAACTCGTGTATTGTCAATCCCTTAACTTTAATGTATAAACAGAAACCACTACTCATGTTATTTGTTGGTTTTTTAAGATATTATGTATAAAAATTGGATTGTTCAGTGCTGGGGTTTCTTCTTTTTTCCTTCTACTTTCCACCTTACTATACCTTTCCTTAAAATTTACCTTTTTTCCATCTTTTTTTCTTAATTACTTTGTGCTTTGTGTTGTGTATTAGTTATTTGTTAATTTCTAAAAATAAAATGTATTTATTATATTCAGGAGGGCAGGCCAATTAAAACAAATGTAAATGGTTAGGGTGTAGCCCTGGCTAGTAAGAATTTTTTCACAAACTATACAAAGTCACGAACCCCTTGAATAATTTGTCTTAAGTTTTGATTGGCGAACTAAGTGTAAGTGTAAGTGTAAGTGGAAATGTTTTTTGTTTGGTTTAAACGTTCTAAGTTGAGTAAGTTGACTCTTATAACGAAAACTGGTTTGAATACAGGGTTACCCCCCCACACACACAAAGAATAAGACTGCAAAGACGACTGGGAGCTATAAGGATATGACGATCCCAAGGTTATATTAAGTCTTCTGTCTGTAATTTAGTTCGATTGCTTATTTTATGTTTTTGAAAAGAAAGAAACACGTTTAGAGTTCAGGGAATTATGAATATGATGAGACAGTGTTACTTCCGTCGTCTCTGAAGTCTCATCCTTTGAGGGTAACCCTGTATAAAGCTTAAAGTTCATTCCTTACTAGATAAAGACTAATGCATTCTATTTTTCAGGGGTTGGCTTTGAATGGAGGAAATGGACTTCATGTTAATGTTATGGACAGGTAATTTTATGGCTTCATTAGATTAAGTTTGTTTATTGGTTTTACGTTTGTATCCAATAAATGGCAGTCTGGCAGACTCGGTCATGTTTATTTTTTTGTGGCAACTCACATTACCCCAAGAAAAGATTAGGTCCGGTTGAGATTAGAAAACTTCGGAAATTCGTCCATAAAATCGAAAAAAATTTAATTTTTTACAAATTTTTTTTTTAATCAGAAATATGAAGTGCAAGGTTGCAAGAAACTTTTAAGCTAAGTTTATTGCAAAAAAGAGGCGACTCACCTTGGAAGTCTAGTTATTAATAATATATGTCTATTCTGTTTTTCTTAAAAGTTATTTAAATTTTGTAAATTTTGATATAAATTATTTTTTATTAAAATTCTGTAATTTTTACATTTTCTAAAAAATTTAATAACATTACTATTGAGGCAAAATATAATAACTGAAATGCTTACTTTTTTTAGGAGATGGGTGCATTTTTTTACCACTTAAAGCGTTTTAAGCATAATTTTATTTTTAAATAACCCTCTATAGAAAGATTTTAATACCCAATTCACAACGGTACCCTTCAAAGCTTTATCTGATCAATTATGAATTATGTTCACAATTTTGTAAACTGATTATTTTCAAGTCTAGTTTCTGTACAAGACTGGCTTGCGTATTTTTACCTCCCGAAAAATAATAATCATAATAAAAACGTCAAAATTTCTACATTATTGGCCAAATAAAGGTTTCAAGGGTACCGTTATCTTTGCAGGAGGATCACTTGAAAAAAAACTGACTTCCAATGAAAAGTATTAAAAAATTATTTAACTATCACACTTTTTTCTTCTTCTATCTAAAGTACGGATTCAAAACGATTAACGTTGAATTTTTATACCTTCATCATTACTGCGTTTTAAAAAAGATGCTTTTATTTATTGTATTTGCCTTTCATTTAATCTCGGTTCATCAAACCTTAACAAGCTGTATGGGGAGCAAAATAGACATTTAAAATTTTTTTTTTTTTCAGAGGCCTGATTTTTTTATTTGTATCGAGGGTAATGTTTAAAATACCTGATGGGCCGGGGGGTATTGAATAAGTTTAATATTTATTCTTTGGAATTTATATTTTATCATACTTATATTCTTATATTGTATATTTCCATTTAATATTTACATTCCAATTCTTGTTTGATCCAATAAAACTAGGAAAGTGAATAGATGATCTTTATTTATTCTTTTAGAAAACTAAGCAGATATATTAAAAATAGATAGGAACAGGGTTATTTGTTTTCCATGTTAGTTAGTAAATTTTTTTATTAAAAAATGCAAAAATAATTCGGATTTTTGACCAGTAAAATGTTAGGCCCCTCAAAACATTTGGCTCAGCCGTTTAAACGTTCATTGAATTGGAATCCAAACAAACTAATAATATTTATCAACTTCTTGCAGGAGTGCGTTTTTATTTGTAAATATTCTAAGCAAGGTTTTAAACAATATTTATGTGTTGGTACTTTATTAAAGTGGAGAATGAATGCATGTTGTTACCCATATATGTACATTGTACACTTTGGAAACCTAGAGATAAATAGATAAAAATATTTTCCATTTAATCGCATTAATTTTTCTGTTGCTGCAGATGTAGAAAAACATCTTAGTTCATGAAAACAAACGTTAAAACAAAAAGTTTTGGTCTTAAATAATAGATCTGGCCTTTAATATTCTGCAATCTGCACCTTAAATATATTTTTTAAAATATGCATCGAATGAACAATGTAAACATTGGAAAATCTTCAGGTCCTCAAAAATAATATTAATAAAGTGTTTTCGTTATTTAGATTTATTTCACACAAAAAAGGTAAATTGATATAAAATGGCGTAATTTTTTAATGTGTCAATAAAAACTACATGATATGAATGGCTTCATGTTATTACTTTTAATCTTTCTGCAACAGATTTCTCGACCCTTGCTCTCGTAACTTTTATATGCTTAAAAAACAGGCTTAAATATTCAACTGTGTAATTGTATGGCCCCACTAAGGTTTTATTGATGTGCAATTTTGGCTAAAGAAAATGAAAGACTCTTCTTTGAAAAAGGGGCGTAAAGCGCCTGAAATCTTAGCTAATGATAATTGATTCATTGATTGATTAATGATTTATAATTATTTAATTAGTCAGAGTAAGTGTGATTTCTGCGAACAGCTGATTCCTGATTTCGTCATGGAGGAACATATAGAGGAGTGTCAAGCCAGGTTAATATTTTTACTAAATCATGGAGGAACATATAGAGGAAAATTATCAGCCACTGGAATTGTATTATATCACCATTTTACTAACCTAACCTAACTTAACCTAACCGACATTGTATTGATTTACATGCTGACTAAGCTGAATCATACAGTTTAACCCAGAACTTTGGAGACATCGGAACAATTTATAAATGTCGTCTTCTAAACCTACAGATAATGGAATGCTGCAGATATTTAGTTTTTTAACTGGCAGATTGTATGTTTAAAATGTTTAAAATTATATGGAGTTCTTTCAAACTGTTCCCACATTTTATTTTAAAATAACTAAAATTTAAGTATAATAGTATAAAACCCATTGAAAAATTGTCAAGACAACATTTTATAAATTCTTTAATACCTCCAAAGTTATGGAATAAGTTCAAAAAAAAAGTAATAAATAAAAAAAAAAATTAAAATGGCATCTTCTGATAATAAACTATATTTTACAGGGGTGTGCGGAGCCGAGTTACTCCTTCAAGTAAACGGAGAAGATATTGAAGTTTATATATTCTGCAAATTCATGTATTCTGAACATATTATAGTTGAATAAACTATTATGACAAACTATTATCAATGTTTTACACAGTTTCGTCGAGGTATTTTTATCTACTTCTTCTTTAAATCCATTAAAATTTATATAACCCTATTTCTCAAGATAGAATGATATGTTGGATAACAAGGTGTGATATAACAATTCTACAGGGTGTTCCAATCACTAAGAACTCGGGTCTAAATAAGGTACCAGACCGACATCAAGGCAGAACAGAACAGTACACCAAATGAATTAATTCCCCACTTCTAGTGAAGTCATTGTGTGCAATGAACATGGTAATATGAGAAACACCTAGAAATCATCATTGACCTTGAACATATTCACGTTACACTAAGATAAATTGTAAATTAAGATTGATATTTATTTGCCAGCTATTTGGTAATTGTGAATAATGGAGTTTGTGAGCATTCATCACACTGTTCGAAAACTATGTCAGACGACATGGACTTATTCGTATAGGAGCCGTAAATATATCGGGAAGAAACTCCGTGTCTATAAAAATCTATCTGAAGAATCTTGTATATTTTTAATCATAACTCCTCTTATTGAAAACCTGTTGAAGAGAGATCAAAAATGTTATGAATTTATGTAAGCGGATATTAGGTCATGATTTAGGAAATTTTTAATATTTCATTTTAAAAAAAAGTTGAACACCTTCTTTAAATAATGAGATTCAGAAAATGTAACGTTTTGAATGCCATACGGCTTAAACCCTTTTTTTATTTCACATTGCCAAATCTCGACAAAAAAAATCGATTGTCAGTATGTCTGTCAGTGTTTATCGGAACCCCCCCAATTATAGACAACTCTGGAAGTTATTCATCATATTTTACATCACCACCTTACTAATATTTTTTAAAACCCTCAGCATTTTCATTTTAAAATGCAACGTGCAATTGTGTCTAAATAAACTTTAAAAGGAGTAATTGGCAAAATACTATTCTATTTGTTCGTGTACGCGTGCACATCTTTGCATCTTTGCATGGTGCTCCGCTGAAACCTATAATCAGACGAATCAGACTGAGCAATTTCTTTTTCCACGAACGTATGAACAAGGCAGAACAAGGTCCATCCTAAATAACATACTTTTGGGGACGATAGTTCGGCCGTTAAATGTCTAACGTAAGTTTTTATCTGATAGATAGATAATATTAAGACAATCATTCAGGGTGGCCAAAATGTACGGATTGTACGGATTGATTTTTTTTAACCCTAAAATTGTACGGATTTGTTTTCAAATTGTACGGATTTTTATCCTGGAAAATACACCGTTTTTTTTAAATTTTCACTCATTTCAGCAAATTTTTCATGAAAATTAAAAAAAAATTCTCGTCAAAATGAAGTTAGTTTAACTTATTTCTGCATTCTAAATAATATTAGATTCATTGATGTTTCAATTGTCAATCAAAATTGATTCATAATTTTCGAGATATGTCCAAGAAGTGTTTATTTGAGAATATGTTCCATAAGTACTTATTTGATTGCTTATTCAAGAAGATGTTCCAGTATCCTGTACCCAGTATCCTGTACCCAGTATCCTGTACCCAGTATCCTGTACCCAGTATCCTGTACCCAGTATCCTGTACCCAGTATCCTGTACCCAGTATCCTGTACCCAGTATCATGTACCCAGTATCATGTACCCAGTATCATGTACCCAGTATCATGTACCCAGTATCATGTACCCAGTATCATGTACCCAGTATCATGTACCCAGTATCATGTACCCAGTATCATGTACCCAGTATCATGTACCCAGTATCATGTACCCAGTATCATGTACCCAGTATCATGTACCCAGTATCATGTACCCAGTATCATGTACCCAGTATCATGTACCCAGTATCATGTACCCAGTATCATGTACCCAGTATCATGTACCCAGTATCATGTACCCAGTATCATGTACCCAGTATCATGTACCCAGTATCATGTACCCAGTATCATGTACCCAGTATCCAGTATCCTGTATCCTGTATCCTGTATCCTGTATCCTGTATCCTGTACCCTGTATACAGTATCCTGTATACAAAAGACAATGAATGAAAAATTGAATTTGAATGTTTTTTTCAAAAATGGGATTTTTTTCGAAAATTGTACTGATTGTACAGATTTTTAAAAAAAATGTACGGATTGTACGGATTTTTAAAAAAAAATTGTACGGATTGTTTTTCGAAAATTGTACGGATTGTACGGATTTCTTCTGAAAATGTACGGATTTTTGTACGGATGTGTTCAAAAAAGTTTTGGCCACCCTGATCATTGTCACTATTCATTAATCCCAACCTCAGCTTCTATAAAACTCTTGAACGATTATAAGAACCAACTTTTCCATCCGATCTAGGCCATATATTTTATGGATATTGATCCTTGTCAAAACTGGACATAAACCTCATCAAAAGATAACACCGAATTCTAGATTTTGTCAATGAAAAGCAGTCAGAGAGAAGCATATATATTACAAGGTTACAGGGGATACAAGGGTGAACAAATTTAAATTTCAGTTTAGCCCCGGGGAGGGGGGGGGGGAGTTTAGCCCCGGGGGGGGGTAGTTGAATTGAATAGATGAGAATTAAATTGAGGTTTGCTGATATGTTTGTGCAAAGTTTCATTAATGCATAGAAAATGTCCTCAAGTTTCCATTGAGTTCAATAAACAAATCATTGACAAATTTAGAAAATTAAACTTCTATATATACTTTGGTTGGCTGTTTGTATCCAATAAACGTCAAAACGGCTGAACCGATTGGGCCCAAATTTTGACTGGACATAGCATGACCTCAGGGAAGGTTTATGGATGATAACGTTTTCAAATATTTGCCTTTAACAAAATTTGATTTTTGAAAATTTTGAAAATCCACTAATTTTTTATAAAATCCCCAAAATTTTGTGCTTGTTTTTGTTTTACAATGTATACAAAGAGAAAATTGTTCACAATTGAAAAGAAGATGGGCGCGAAGCACCTGAAAAGCCTAGTATATAATATTTGATCTAGCACAACTTTAAGTTTTAGTGTAAAAGGACTACGACTGAAAAGGGACTGTTAGCGTAAATTAAAGTGGGGTGTCTGATTAACAACAGTACTCTGTAAAACTTTGTCTGATCAAGAATTATCTACAGAGCCCGCTCTTTCCATCATAATGCTTAAACAGTGAAGTTCACGTACTTTGGGGGGACGATAGTTTGACCGCTAAGGAAACTTAAATTGCTATACTTAGGAATCTTTAATAATAACCCGATTGACGATAAAACCATTTGAGTGCTTTCCTATTAAGCTTTTCAGTAAAGCATCCTATATTTGGAACAGTTGAGATTGCGATTCGAGAGGGTAAGTGAAGTGTTTAAAGGGACCCACCATGCAGAGATATCAATGCCCTAGTCACAACGGTATCCTTAAACGCTTTGTGTGATCAATCCTTTCCTTTTCCTTTTATTTCTATTTTTATACTTATTTTAGAATTGGGGGGAAATATTCCCACAACCTCTACTTTTAGAGGTTTTAAATATTTTCTCCTCATACACTTTATTTTGTATGTTTTTGTTTTATTTAATAAATAAATAATTTTTTACGTTACTTTACTTTTACTAGATATTAAAGTTTAGAATTTTGAAAACTGATTATTTTCAAATGTAATTCTTCTTCAAAAGTGACTTGCGCATTTCTACTAAGGAAAACAGTGAGGAATAATCATAATTTAATACTTTTTAACCTAGAAATACAACAATATATACCATATTATTGATCAGCTAAAGGTTTAAAGAGTATCTTTGAACATCGGGTCAGCTTTGAATTGAAGTTATGCAATTTAAGTCCATCAAAAAAAACTTGAGATAGAACTCCATCAATCTTACGAAGGTAGGATGATTTCCAACTTTGTAAACTCCAACTAGAGATCAAAAGGTCTCAAATCAGACTAATATTTTTTGTTCGAAATACTGAAAAAAATACATCTGGCACCATCTCTTCAACTGCCCCCCCCCCCCTGGAGGAAAGTGTTGTGAATTGAGTACGTACAAGTCTCACTGTAAACTCCGGTTTAAAGGTCAACTAAAGTAAGGTTGAGAGTCCCTTAATATACCATAATCTTAGTTTTCGGTATTATCAAATTATATCTGCTAATGCTATATTATATTAAATGATGTGGAAAATAACACTTAAATACTGTAAGCAATAAATAGGAAAAAACATTAAAGGAAGAAAATGTAAAACCACTAAGATTTTGCTGTCTCCAATCTGTAAAACCTACTTCTTCATATCTGAAAATTAAATATATCTCATGTTTAATTTCAAGTAAATTGTTTAGCTTTTAACCCCTAATATTATGAAACTATTGTGTTACTATTACCAGCTTGCCAAGTAATATTTTAAGCAAACGAACTCAGGTTAAAGAGATTTGTATTTTCTCTAAGAGTTGTGAGTTAGGGAGAAAAAGAGAGAGAGAGATGAAGAGCGGATAGAAACCCTCAGTATTGTAAATGCTGTAAGAGAAACCTTTCCTAGATTAGGATTTTAAGAATCTGTTTTAATTATTTTATGTTTTATTAGTAATGCAAAAGATATCGTCGTTTTTCTTCCTTTATAAATGATTAATTCTAGCAGTTTTTTTCATTGTTTCCTAAGCCTAATTGCGCAATTTTTTAGATAGAGAAACCACAATTTAAAATAATAAATTTTTCTTAAAGAAGATTATGGATATCTCATTCGTTCTTCATCAGTCAAAGCTTTTGATGATACCGTTGTGAATCGGACATTCCCCATTATAAATGGCTGATCAGTGTCCCTTTATAGACTCTGCCGACCTAGTTTAAAGTAAACCTTGAATTAAATTATTTTTAATATGATTTTTCTGGAAAGGAAACAAAATTCGATCCTTTTCTTGCTTACTGTTGTTGTTTAAATCCGAGCCAAGAGACATCTTGTGTAGATTAATAAACACTAGTTGGAGTGCCCAGGTTTATATTATTTTTTAGAATCATATTTACTCCCACCATTTACCCGCGCATGGTATAGTCTATTTT